GTATCCTGCCTCTCACCCAAATGAAACCACAGATGTTGTCGACAACATGTATACCAGTGTATGTGGTTTTATGTTTTTTATTTTTTTTTTTTGATGTGTGCTTTTCACCTGGCAGCAGTACTTGTGCAGCTCCTGAGTCCAAGACAAATTTCAATTAAGTATAAATAAAGTATATCATATTGTATCATACCATTTTGGGATCTTAGCCATTATTCAAAGTTTGCTAAGCCTGTTTTGCTTTGGGAAACATTACACCAACAGCATTGTGACGGTGGTATATGCAACCCATCAAATTAATGTTATACAACTGCCGACTGTATGCTGTATGTCAATCTTATATAGCTGGAAAAAAGATGAAACTAGCCACATGAAGGTGTAGCATAAACTTTGGAAGCAGATCTGTATTAAAGTTCAGCATCAGGCTCATATTTGCAACATTTTTAATTGTCAAAAAATGACCTGCTGACCTAGAAATTGCAGGTCAGCAGTGAAGGGAGATAAGGCCTATGTAGTGTGAGTTGCCAAGTACAATAAACAACACACGGCCACTTTAAGCTCATTTGTCAAGCGTCCCTTTATGAATGATTCTGTAACAGGAAGCTGCGTGCTTTTTTCTGCAGTTTAAACATGCAGTTAACTCCTGTATGGTTGCACTTTTTGTTTATGGTTCTCATATTCCCGACTGTACATGAACGCACCGAGCGCTATCACACCATACACACGTACCTTTTTGTAAACTTGTTAGTTCACGGAGCAGCGGGAGCGCGCCTGGCTCCTGTTGGCTGACGTGGAAACTATCTAACCTGTCTTTCTGCCATAACTCCTCATGGCTGGAGTTGTCAGTTAAACAAGATGTGAACTCACATGTTGAGAACAATAAACATTTTAATTCCTACAATGAAATATGTTTGTAAGTGTCACTGTTAATCTCTTTTGTTCCCTCACTCTGCTTGCTTGTGCCCATCTATTTTTCACTCAGTCTGTCGTGTCACTTTCTGTTCCATCACTCTGCCTCCTTTCATCTCGGAGTGTGTAAACCCATTATTGGCCTCCTTCATTCAGTTTCAACCGTGGGTGTTCTCACGACATCTTGAAGCCCAAATAATCTGAAGAGCACCTTCTTAGAATCACACATGTGTGTTTGTGTAAAAATGTACAAACATCACAAAATAACTTCGTCATTTGGGTGTGATCACTTTCTGCAAGCATGAACTTTACTGTCTTGCTTTGCACCACAGCAATGCAGCTTTTTCGCCGCTGACTGATATTTCTTGTGAATAAACAAACCCTATAACAGCTCCAAGTTTTCCATTACTAACGTAAAAGTCCATTGGCAGTTTTCTTTAGTGTATAATCACCTAAAAATAAGAGTTGTTGTGTTTTTGTTACCTTAGAGTGAGCCGTTGTGGGGCTTCATCTACAGAATCCGCCATGTTGCACCACTCTGTTTCCACAGTAGCCCAGAATGGACAAACCAAACAGTGGCTCTATTGTTTTTTTGAATCACCTCTGTTTGTTTTGGAGAGGAAGAGACCTCAATGGATAATTTTTTCCATGTAAAAACCTCCTGAATAATAAACACGAAAGGAATTCAAATCGAGAGAAGTTTCAGCTGGTTGCAATCTGCAATCCTCACCACTAGATGGCACTAAATCCTCCCCTTAATCTTACACACTGTTCCTTTAAAGGAAAGTGTGTTTGGCTTGTTGCAGATGGGTTGCTAGCACAGCACCTGCTAATGTGTGCTCACCTTTTTTTTCTGATAACTTGAGATCCAGGAGCCATATTCACAAACACTCTAAGAATATTCTCAGAGAGCTCCTATTTTAGCCTAAATGTTTTTAGTGAGGAGTCATAGCCTAGGAGTGATTTAAGAAAGGTCTCAGAGCAACTCTGAGCACGGAAGGGATAGAAACTTTTACCTAAGTGAGGGGGTGTGTTTGACCCTGTTCCCAGGTATGATGCCTTTTTTTAACAGGTGTGATTGGTTGTCATAGACGTGCCCCCTTTTGAGCCTGCATGGTGTGGACACCCAGTGGAAATTAAATGAACTGCTGACTGTGAAAGTGTTGTTATTGTTAGTGTGATCACTCTGTTGATGGAAGGATGAGACTGATTGCATCTTTTCAGTTTTTTCAAATATCTTAGTATCCTGTTAATTTTATTTCTAGCCTTTTAGCATAAGCTGGGAATTGTGTGTGTATCCCTGATAAGATCGACCACAAATATTATCCCTGCATGATCTAATCTGTGGCATTTCATTTACTCACTAACATCCAGGATTTGGAGAATATTTCTCCGACCTCTTTGTCTTTCTGCCATTTTCTCCTCTGATTAAGAAACTCTTAAACCTCTTAAAAGTCCTCCTCCCTGTCCTCTATTTTCTTAGAATTTTGTCACGAGGAGCAACTCTAGGAAGCTTTGTGAATGTGGCCCCAGATGTTCAGGAGGTTTTTACCTTCCACCGAGGTCTCCTTGTCTGCAAAACAAATGGACCAGGTGATTCAAACCAGAAAAAAATGCAGAATAGAGCAGTTTTACATTTAAAAAAAAAATCTGTGTTTGTGTGGTGCTGCTTGTCGTGGAGAGGCTGCAAAATGAGAAAATGCAAATGGCTCTATCTGGAGCCCGTGTTTGGTTTGTCTATTCTCTGCTACTGTAGAAACATGGCAGTGCAACCGTAGATGAGGACTCGCTCTCTATGTAGAGAACGGTTCATTCAAAGGTAATGAAAACACAGCTATTCTTATTTTCAGGTGATCATACACTAAAGTAAACATAATAATTATATTATACAATACAGAAATAAGAGTCCTCTGATGATTCAGGTTACTAAGATTTATTCAGAAAGCAAAACAATGCTCGAAGTGCAAGATGGACAGATTTATGACAGAAGAAAGGAAAAACTGTCAGTCAAATACAAAATATGAGGAAGCCTATGTTGCTTTCAAGTGAGCTATCAATACAGCAAGATAAATGTGCATTTTGTTGTGTCATTATTTCAATACAGTTGGAGGTGGCTGCTTTTGTGACTAGTTTATCCAGTTTATTCACAGGCTGATGAAAAGGCACTCAGGGAGACTCACTAGAATCGAGCCCATCGTTAACTAAATTAGTTTCACCTGCATTTGCCAATCCGGTCTGGACCCTGCAGCAATGCAGCTGGCTGTCTCAAGACACAGATCTCAGCCATCACATCAGATATACTGATAGTGAGTTTTAAATCTACTATAGAGACATATTGACATGTTGGTGTGGGTGACTTCAGCTGCATTTGTTGGAGCGAATAGATGTATTATCAGGTGTCTACAAAAGCAAACCCACACTGACATTTAGAGAGGATTGCTGGTAAAGGTGCCAGTGGATTTATGATGGTGGAGCATGATGCCCTCTATGATTCATATGAGCCAGTAAGCTCATTGCCAGCACACAACACACCCATCTAATAAATTGCAGCCCACTCCTGTATATGTCAGATTAGGTTGGCTCGTATTTTAGTCACAAGAAAATTGTATTTTCAACAACATATTGCTACTATTTTTCTTGGAATACACAGTATCTTTAGTGGTAACCTCATCATATGCACGTAGTCGGTGTAGATGGAAATGTCAACCATCAGATATCTGAATAAACTGTCCTCCCCTTGCTGTTTACTTCTTTCACTTACTGATATACCATTGCTTTAAAACGTTGAACGATACCTGTCTGCATTGTCTGCTGCAGCATCACACTTCATGACAATTTAAGGAAAGTGAAGAAAGCAAGATGCTCTCAAAATGCGGTTTCATTGTGATGTTAAAGACAATTATTATCAGGAAAATCGTGCTAGGTTTGTTGTGCAGGAAGCAATAAATGAATGCAATGTTTCCTCTCAGGTTTGAGCTGCTTTTGTATGGGCGTACGTGTGTGTACAACTTTTGTTTTTCCTAATACTGATGCATTTAATTTCAAGTCCATCAGGTTTTCAGCAATAACTAATCTTTTCAATCTCTGTTCTCTCTTTTGTAGTCACAGTAACGCAGATCACGGACAAACAAATACCCACATGCTGAGATAAGAGGGTTCACGCTGAGGAGAAGGTGCATCAATACTGTCTCATACAGGAAATCCTATTGTCACAAATGTGATACCTGGCAGGCATTCATCATCTTTTCTTTCACTCAACATACATGAACAGACCTCAACAAAAGTGAACAAATGAGAGAGGCCTATTTAAATTAGATAAGGGATGGAGTCACACCAGAGACAGAAAAAGTAGAATGGATTAAAGAGTGATTAGGTGGTTTGTTATTGTAGTGAAAGTGTGTTTCTAATGGGAGTGAGCCTTCACATTACATTTCACCAATCTGTGTCCCACTGATGAAATTAAAATATAATTTTCCAGCCATTCTCAATATTGTGTCCGAAACTGAAGACTTTGGATGAAGATGATGACACTTGCCTGCAACACCCTGTGTACTACACAACAACACTGTACTTTGATGCCATCTGGCGGCCATGATCAACAACCAAAGGACGTGTGCAGCGACAAAACAAGTGCTTGTGTCATCACATGTATGTTATTGTGAGTGCTCTGTTATTCTCATGTGCTTTCTTGCAGAATACAATGTACAGTATGTGTAGGAAAGCACCAGAAATCCCAAACAGCTCCTGTGCGATGCAGTAAAATGATGCACGCGCTATTAAAACTGAAGGTTAACTGTGACATCATTTCTTATTAAGGGAAACACCTGTTTCGTATTGTAGGGTGACGAAATACAGGACAACTATGCTGTAAATACAGTGGGTATTTTGGTCAGTTAAATCCAGAAGTGACAGTTGGTGACATAACGCATGCGCAAAACAGGATCAACTGCAACCTGTTTTAAAATCACTAATAATATGCCTCACTGCAGTTTAAGTGATTTAAGCGAACACGGAAGTACATACCAGATACTTATCTTGCCTCGTCATAAGCATCTGATATAGAAGTTTCCAGTAAAACACCATTTCCCAGAATGCACCGCGCCTTCTGGTGACATCCACGCTACGATGAGGTGAAGCGGTTGTTTTCGTCTAGGTGGTTGTAAGTAGCTGCCTTGAAATTGAGGTGTAACGGCTGTTATTACCGGAATTAACGCGGTGTCCCGGGCCTGTAGGGTTTCCGTTTCCCTCTGGAATTACCGCCAGACCAAGGCTTTCACTCTCCATCTCGTTTTCGGTGAGTTTATCGCCATGTTATCATCCATTCCCACCAGGCTTATTGCGCGAAGGTCGCGCAGCCTGTCACCGTGCAGCCGCGTGCTCCAGACCAGCGCAGGCGGCGCCGCGTGCCAGAGCATCCGCGAGACACCGGCGGAGATCAACCGCAACCCCATCGTGTCCACCTCCCGGGTCTCCAGGAGGGGGATTTTGGCGGAGGAGACGGCAGGTACCAGTGTGAACCCGTCGGTGCAGTTCCACCACCTCGCCCCTAGATGGCTGTCCAGCCTGGAGAACCGCCGCAGCTCCTGGGCGGCTTTGGCCAGCAGGGGGCGCAACAACAACCAGTACTGGGAGGAGAGCAGTGGGGGTGAGGGCCGGGGGACAGGTGGACGAGCCAGCCGGGCAGGAGTGGCCTCTGCCGGTGTGCTGTCTGCTGCAGCCGTGGCCTTCTGCCTGAAGAAAGACTCTGATAACAAAGGTATCAGCTCTCACTGTGTTTTCTGACTAAGTATAATTGTTTTATCTATTAGTGATGGGTCACTATATTTAGAAAATATTTTAAAGTATGATTGTGGTCAGTTGAGTTTATAAGATATTGATGAATTGGATTTGGCTTCAAAAAAACAGCAGTGGAGAGCAGGGTTGGTTGGGACATTTGTGTATCAACATGGAATAACCTTCCATTTCTCACAGACTGCTTAAGAATAATAAAAATACATTACCATACGATGTAGTGCGCCAGATAAAGATTTAGTATGTCACAATTCGTAGTATGTCAAAATACCAGGATGTTATGTATTAGGTCAGATTTTGCAGTGTACAAGCCAGCATGTTTCTCTGGCTATTCTGACCCACAATCCTTTGCGCAGGGGAAGATTTGTCACATCAGATGACAGCTTGACAGCTCACTGAAATCTGTCAGAAGCTGCAGTGACAGATGACCAGGCATTTAAGTAACTGATGACCATTCAAAAATTAGGACTAATTGTTTAAATCAAGAACCACTGGTTAAATAAACAGAATAAATATAAATATAACCACAACAAAAGGGCATAAGTGTTAAATAAGAATAGCAAAGAAATGCATAGCCTGTGTGATTTTACTTTTGTGAATATATTATGTTAGAATCAACAATGTATTCGTTCATTCGTTCATTAATTTTCTGTAACCGCCTCTTGAGGGTTGCAGCTCACATTGGGTGAGAGGCAGGGTACACCCTGTACAGGTCACCAGACTATCACAGGGCTGACACATAGAGACAGACAACCATTCACGCTCACATTCACACCTACAGACAATTTAGTCACCAATTAACCTGCATGTCTTTGGACTGTGGGAGGAAGCTGGAGCACCTGGAGAAAACCCACTCTGACACGGGGAGAACATGCAAACTCCACACAGAGGGGCTCCCCCGTGTATACAGTCATTACTAATTGCAAAATAACAACATCAGAACTCTCAGGTGTTTAGTTTTATCTCCAAGGTATTTGATATATGACAAAGAGGGTCAAAGTTCAGGGCGTAATATTATGAAAAAGTAGTATGTCCATTGTGTGCATACTGCATACTTTTTAAGGACAGCTGCAATACCTACTAAAAGTAAAAGAAAAAGTATGTGATTTGGAACGCACCCATAATTTTATTCCTGACCAGACAGAGTTGTCTGTTCTAACAATATATCAAGTTTTTTTTAAAAGGTTAACCCAAATGTGAAAGGAACAGTATTATAAATTGTACAAGGAGTGTATTTCCCAAAATTCTGCCTTCTCGGGACAGTTGGGGAAATGGGTAGGGTTAGTTGGGACACCTTGTTCCAGGCTAAAAAAAAAGATGTCTTTTAAATTGAACAAAAAAAGTAATTTACCTTAAAATGACTGTCATTTGTTCACACATTTCTATGATATCTGGAAAAACATTTGTAAAATTATTATAATTTAATACATTACTGAGGTATGAAATAAAGCTGTTTCCAAATATTAATTTCAGCAGCATGTATGAGCTCGATGTGGTTATTCGGTTACATATAGCCCGTAGATTTATATAGACTATTGAGTTTGTTGTATTTTGCAAAACAGAAATGTCAACAACAACTTGAGATTTATCAAAAAAAATTAAAAGTTAAATAGTTAACTCTGTACTTTTAAAATATGCCCAGTGGGTCTTATTCAATTAGGAAAAAATTTTGTCTAATTTTTAAAAAATTTGTAACCAGGTACAGTACAGGCCAAAAGTTTGGACACACCTTCTCATTCAATGCGTTTTCTTTATTGTCATGACTATTTACATTGTAGATTCTCACTGAAGGCATCAGAACTATGAATGAACACATGTGGAGTTATGTACTTAACAAAAAAAGGTGAAATAACTGAAAACATGTTTTATATTCTAGTTTCTTCAAAATAGCCACCCTTTGCTCTGATTACTGCTTTGCACACTCTTGGCATTCTCTCCATGAGCTTCAAGAGGTAGTCACCTGAAATGGTTTTCCAACAGTCTTGAAGGAGTTCCCAGAGGTGTTTAGCACTTGTTGGCCCCTTTGCCTTCACTCTGCGGTCCAGCTCACCCCAAACCATCTCGATTGGGTTCAGGTCCGGTGACTGTGGAGGCCAGGTCATCTGCCGCAGCACTCCATCACTCTCCTTCTTGGTCAAATAGCCCTTACACAGCCTGGAGGTGTGTTTGGGGTCATTGTCCTGTTGAAAAATAAATGATCGTCCAACTAAACGCAAACCGGATGGGATGGCATGTCGCTGCAGGATGCTGTGGTAGCCATGCTGGTTCAGTGTGCCTTCAATTTTGAATAAATCCCCAACAGTGTCACCAGCAAAACACCCCCACACCATCACACCTCCTCCTCCATGCTTCACAGTGGGAACCAGGCATGTGGAATCCATCCGTTCACCTTTTCTGCGTCTCACAAAGACACGGCGGTTGGAACCAAAGATCTCAAATTTGGACTCATCAGACCAAAGCACAGATTTCCACTGGTCTAATGTCCATTCCTTGTGTTTCTTGGCCCAAACAAATCTCTTCTGCTTGTTGCCTCTCCTTAGCAGTGGTTTCCTAGCAGCTATTTGACCATGAAGGCCTGATTGGCGCAGTCTCCTCTTAACAGTTGTTCTAGAGATGGGTCTGCTGCTAGAACTCTGTGTGGCATTCATCTGGTCTCTGATCTGAGCTGCTGTTAACTTGCGATTTCTGAGGCTGGTGACTCGGATGAACTTATCCTCAGAAGCAGAGGTGACTCTTGGTCTTCCTTTCCTGGGTCGGTCCTCATGTGTGCCAGTTTCGTTGTAGCGCTTGATGGTTTTTGCGACTCCACTTGGGGACACATTTAAAGTTTTTGCAATTTTCCGGACTGACTGACCTTCATTTCTTAAAGTAATGATGGCCACTCGTTTTTCTTTAGTTAGCTGATTGGTTCTTGCCATAATATGAATTTTAACAGTTGTCCAATAGGGCTGTCGGCTGTGTATTAACCTGACTTCTGCACAACACAACTGATGGTCCCAACCCCATTGATAAAGCAAGAAATTCCACTAATTAACCCTGATAAGGCACACCTGTGAAGTGGAAACCATTTCAGGTGACTACCTCTTGAAGCTCATGGAGAGAATGCCAAGAGTGTGCAAAGCAGTAATCAGAGCAAAGGGTGGCTATTTTGAAGAAACTAGAATATAAAACATGTTTTCAGTTATTTCACCTTTTTTTGTTAAGTACATAACTCCACATGTGTTCATTCATAGTTTTGATGCCTTCAGTGAGAATCTACAATGTAAATAGTCATGAAAATAAAGAAAACGCATTGAATGAGAAGGTGTGTCCAAACTTTTGGCCTGTACTGTATATGGCAAAGACATAGTTGCTTTCTAACTTTCCAGAGAGGCACCGTCCCACCGTCTCTCAACTGACCCTGCTCTTCTCTTTTTGGCACATCCTTAATGTTCTCATGTTTGCTCAAGTTCTCCTTAGTCTTGTGTAATGTTTTCTACTGTCTTTTTGCATTATCAAGGTGATGCTCTTCTTGAGGCAGCAAGGACCTGTAACTCTCAAGATGTGGCCAGGTAGCACACACATACACACACACACACACACACACACACACACACAGTCACAGAAAATCACAAAAATGCATTTAGTGCGCACTGCTCACTGCGTATTTCACAGACACTTTGCACATGCGCTTTCCAGCCCCACAACATGGAGACACATCCTTGGCTCTCTCCATTCTGAACCACATGATTCAAGGAGGTGTTGCAGGGTGTTGTAGATGCCAAAAAAAATATGTGACATGTTTATTTTTTACATTTTGATAGTCAGTCATCGTGCCAGAGAACAGCAACCCGTCATGATGGCAGTAGGATGTATGAGGATGAAAATAATTGCCAACAATTTTGAATTGAACCTGTACTTATGCTTTTGATGAAACTCAATTTCTGCACACTTCCATCAGGTGTGATAAATGTTGATTTTTTTTCTGAACTCGATGGCTGAAGTAAAGCCATATGATCCACACTGTTCTTGTGTGAGAGGAGAGGAGAAACTACCAGAGAGGCCTTGTTCTCATTAGCTCAAAAGTACAAAGATACAGTATGTCCTGCGATCTCTGCTTTTGTTCCTTTAGTTAAACTCAGTTGGGAATCAGCAGAGGTTTGCGATATTTATATGACATCATATGACTTGGGAGTTTAGTTATTGTAATGTGTAAATTCTACAGTTTTCAGAGGCTGTGCTAAATTAAATGACTTATTTGGCTGTCAATGATTGTTTTGTCAGAGATCATATCCGCTGCAAGTAATTATAATTCCTTACATATCAGGACATTGAAGCAGAAATAATGTGATGCTTAATTTCATCTATCTCAGCCTGGACTACATTTAACTCCATTAAAGTGCTACACAAACAGTGAGTGGTTTCATCTAAATTGATCTTTGCACTACAGTGTTACTGTCAGCCTGTAATGGGCTCTGGTTAGTAGAAAGTACAAAGCATTGTTTTAACTTTAGACTTTTTTCTCCACTCTGCTCTTGTGAATTATCGATCATCATTTGCTCTTTAGTCTCGTTCCTATCCTTGTACAAACCACAGATGTATGCTGAAGCCAGTTAGAACAGCTGCAGGTATGAAACCACAGCTCTATCACCTGTAGTCCCACCAATAACCACCAGGTGGAAGAAGAGGACCACCTGTGTGTGTTAGCAGGATGGATTTCACACTCAGAGCTCTAGTGTTCAAATAGTGTGCCTTGATTTGGTTCCCTCCCTCATATTTGAAGTTTGTTTTAAAGATATTTTTCCTCACACTTGCAGTACCTTTATTTATCTTATCTACCTTACAAATTAAAATGCTTCCTTATTCTTGAGTCTCTTACAATCTCACTTCACACTCAGAGACAGTCAACCAGAGCCACCCAAAAAAGAGCATGTCAGGTCCTGTAGTGCCTCTTGGTCCCATCTGTACTGCTGATAATATTGTATTACAAATCTTGAATAACTATGAAAACAGACCAAATTGAGCCACTGTAGTCACAAGATCATAATCCTAAAATTTGGTGTGGAAGTTCAATACTGAAGAGCCTACAATGTGCCATGTGTGATGTATTAGTACTTTTGGTTACATAAACAAACACATTGCTGTTCATATTGGTGGATTGTCGGATTCCCTGTCAGTCTTGCTGCTCACTTTTGGGCAAAAATCATGTCAACAATCAGTGCTTGTGTGTGTACAGTGCGTCGTCGGGTATTTGTATCAGTGTATACAAGCGAGCGTACATGTGTTTATCCACGTGTGTCTCCATGTGCCGGCTAGAGTTACCTGTCCCCAGATGCCAGATGGCGCAGGTGAGAGTGCAGAGAGACAGTCAGCAGATCACAGATGTGTTAAGTGCTTTGGTTTATGTTATACAAGTGGTAGAGTGTCAGGGTGTGCCTGCAGAGAGACTGGAGAGGATGGAGGTCTCGATTTTAACACAGATTTCATAAAAGCTGAATCACTGTAATACTGAGATAGCATTCTAACACGGGAAGATGTGTATGAAGTTGATATGCTGTCATGTATAATGAGATGCAGCTTCCACAGATAACGATGCTGAAGTTTTCGGAATGGAAACTGCTGTCATTTTCTGTCTTGTGCTTGTCTTTAGTATTTATAGATTTGAAAATGTCCCCCTTCTAGTTTTATTGCAGCCTAGCATGTGAAACCACGTCATCTTCTGCTGTTACTCATTTGAACTGAATGGAGAATCAGGTTGGGACATTGTCCGGAGTTGCCCTTTTACATGTGACAACAGGAGATTATCTGTGTCAGACGTGTTGTCTCCTAGAACACGTCTCATTTCCTGGCTTATTTCCCACCTCAGGGGTGTTTCCAGGCTAGAGCATGCAGGAGGCAGAACATGACGCAAAAAGTGGTACGGAAATCACAGTGTTTCATTTATGTAGCCAGTCTCTTTCCGTTCCCTTAATTACTCTGAAGATTTCGAGACAGTTTTGTTGGTGTCGTTGTGTAAATGGCCCTTGTGGTTTGTGTCCACAGGTTTCGTCATTTCCACATCTCCCATTCATTGTCTGTGTATCTCTGTGCGATGCATTCTGGTAGCACCGCGTTGTGTTTTGCTCTTCATTTGCATAAAGTTGAATCTATGCTACTTGATGCATATCAGGGGCGTCCAGCGCAACTCGCCGCCTCTGGAGACTCCTGAAAAACGAATCATTTTCATTCTGAAATGAAGACAGATTCAGCAACTTCACAGCTTGTTTCTCGCCTCAGATGTTTTCAGAAACACATTTCGGTGAACTATTTTCTTAATACAAGAGAATGTTTCCAACTGAGCCGCCATGTCGGTCCATTTTGAAATGCAAGAACAGCGTATGTTCTAGGGGTGGCTGAGCGATCATCCACTTCGATCCCTGGCTCCTCCAGTCTGCATGTCATAGTGTCTTTGAGCAAGTTTCTGAACCCCGTCGGTGTTAAAAACTGAGTAGCAGGTGGCACCCTGCTCGGTAGCCTCGGCCACCAGTGTGTGAATGGGTGACACATAGTGTAAAAAGCGCTTTGAGTGGTCCGATGTCTAGAAATCATTTGCCTATTTACTTAGTGGGATGCCCATCAAGGGTCCAATGCCAGGAAGCAATGCGACCCCTAGTGTCAAAAAATGCCCCTGTGGACACATACCATCCTTCTTTGCCCTCGGATGTTTGTACTCTTCCAGCTTCGCACCACTTGTGTTTGAGAAACACCATCAGCAAGCCCACTTATTCACTGTGAATTCTCAGGACAATTATCTGCTCTATTAACAGATGGGCCAGTCGGTAATTGCATGGACTTTGTACTAGAGAGCTGGCAGGATAAAATCTATTCGATGGTCAGCTGATTCAGGCACTTGCATTCTCACATACGTACGGCTCCTCTGGGTAACGTCTAGATAAGTTCAGGGTTGCGGTGCAAGTGTGAAAGGGGTTTCTGTGACCCTATAACTCACAGCAAAACTCACACTCGAGGCTTTTTCAGGTGGTTTCATTGCAGGATTTACAGATATCCTTGACGCTCTGTTGTCTTTCTCTGCCACATTTGAAAGTAACATTGACTGAACAATATCCAGGTTTCATTAAAGGCCAGGTTTGCCAGATACATTAGCCAGACACTTGAAATATACAGATAATTTAACCAAAAATGTCCCTTTAAGCATAGTGTCACCCCTGTTTGTGGAGATTCTGACAATCCTTCATGTAGTTGTTTGACTCATTTGATTTAAATCATTTTAATTGTCATGGACCACAGCTTACCTGCCCTGCTTTTCCATCTAATTCTGCCGTGTATTTGTGAAATACAAAAGCTCTGACTTCCCACAATGTCCCTAAATTAAATCAACCTTTCTGTAAAACTAATGTACTCATAGCCGCTCAGTTTGAATGAACCAAAACAAGCACTGCACCCTGAAGAGCTCAGATGTAGCTGCAGTGATGAGCCATTTTCTCTCATTCTGCATGCAGACCGGGCAGTGAAAACGGAGCCGGAGAGCGACAGAGCTGAGTGCAAAGCAGACAGAGGCCACTGTGTTGACTGTAAACACACACACTGTCTGCCTGCTCAGCACATGAGACGACAGACGGATCACTTACACGCACACACACACTTATAAAGCCTGTGCCACTCCAGTACCTGATGTCATACCCTCGGGCAGGAAACTCAGCAAACACCTGGGCTACACACACAGACACATTAACTGGTCAAGGAGCAAGTGTGTGTGTGTGTGTGTTAGACAGAGACAAAGATATAACGGGCTGGTTTCATGCTGGTGTGTCTAACAAGGCAGGCCTTTGGTACAGTCACACAAGCAGCTGTTCAGCCAGTTGTCATTTTCACATTTTTGCATATTTCATGTGCGTTATTTCCCCTTTTACATGTGAACAAATCTTCACTCTCGTACCATTATGTCTCAGCATGTATAAGGATATTAACAAATACTCCTACTCACTATAGCTGCAAGTAATGATTACTTTCATTGATTGTTTATAAAATGTCCAAAAATGGTGAAAGATGTTGATCAGTGCCCAAGATGGCTTTCTCAACATCTTGGCTCATCTACAACCTAAGGATATTCAGTTTAATGTTACAGAGGAGTAAAGAAAACAGGAAATTGTCAAACTAAGAACCAGAATTTTGACTTTTTTTTCTTAAAAATTTACTCAAACTGATTAATCGATTATCAAATTAGTAGGTCATTAATTTAATATTTGAGAATTAATTGATTAATTGTTGCAGCTCTGCCATATTGGTACCACTACTATCGGCTCGACAGCAATGGTTGCCAGGTTACCATTGGCAATCATTTTGAGAAGTTCGCAACCAGTTATTGGCCTTTGGTTGTTATCAGTGGCAGCCACTATTTAACATTTATTGGGACAGTAAACAGCAAAATGTACAACCTAGATTAATATTTTTTAAATGTTTGTTTAATTAGTGATATTCAGAACTGGCAGCAGACAATGCTGCATGTGATGATGCTGCATGTGCGTTGGTGCATTAGTTACTTGCATGTGCACAGGCATCTATTTTAGAGGCAGTGTCCAAGTAAATTGAGCTGTTTCACTGTGGTGTGAAAAGTCCTATACAAATGTGCAAATTCATCCGAAATGCATCAAGTGATAAATCAAGTTCACTAGTTCAAGGTAGCACATCCCACAGACCCACAGGGTTAGACAAAATATTTTGTACACCGGAAGTTTAGGGTAGAAACGTTGCTGATGACACTTCAGATTCAAAGTCTGTAATAGTATCAGATAAAACACTAACAGAATTTTGTTCATTTAATTTAGTAAAACATTTATATGTCACATATTCATTATTAAGTTGACTTAATGCTGCGTAGTATTTTAATTAATCCAAATATAAGTGACTTAAAATGGCGCCCATATTTTCAGTTACAGCAACCAAAAGCTAAGGCCTGGTGCCAGCCTGGCAACGGCTTTAAAAAGTTAGTGTGGAGCCCTGTGTAATATGGACAGTTGTTTCAGATGCCCTCCACTACATGATGATAATAATGGTTATGTTAAATTCTAACCACTTTTCTTTTCCCCATCAGGCTGGTAAAAGAGGGGGTCGACCCAAACTACCGCCACCGTCTAGGATGGACCCCTCTCATGGTAGCGGCCATGAACCGACAGCACAGGTCTGTGTGTGTTTCAACTAAACCCACTGAATAAGTCATGTGTTTCAAAGTTCTGCCCTCCTTGATGAACATATGTAACAGTGATGTAGTGTTTTGGGTTCACACAGCTGTCTGCATGAGTTAGTGTGTGAGCATATGTCGTCCGTGTCCCCGCTCTAGTTGTTACAGTAGGTCTTCAGAAGTGCAAAGTGCGACTTTGAGACTGACAGACGGTCTTTACCCGTTCCCCCATCTCTCTGTCCAACAAATTAAATTAGCCTCCTGGCCCCCAGAACACACACAGCACAGAGAGGGGCCGAGGTTAAGGCCGGGCTAAATCCAATTTACAGCGCTTTTTTTTTTTTTCTCCATCAGGACTGTTTGGTCACTTTTTATTGTTTAAGGGCCTCATGTGCCCGTGAGAAGCATAATGTGAAATTTGAATATGAAAATAGCTGAAAATGAGCTTACTTTAGATGTCAGGGTTACAGTGGCCCCCTCCTCGAGTTCGTAAGTTTGAATTTAATGCTGCTAAAATGGAAATGTGAGACAAATTGAAGTTTGTCGGAACAAATGATTTTTCTTTCTGCAATATTTCGGAATTGGAGCGAATAATATGTGTTAATTTGAAAGTTTAGATTTTTATTTTCTGTATTACTTATAAATGTGTTCTAATAAACTTTTCCATGAAGTTAATAAACTCAAGAAGCGTTTAATCTAGTAGTTGGTTTTAATAATTTAGGTAATCGGTAAACAGTTTAAGTCATTTTTAGGAAAAATGCCAAATGTTAGCTGGTTCCAGCTTCTCAAATGTGACAGTTTGCTGCTTCTACTTGATTGTGAATTGGATATCTTTTGGATTTTGGACAAAGTAAGTGATTTGTTGATGTCACATTGGGCAGCCAGACATTTTGATGAGCATTATTCAAAATTTTCTCCCATTTTATAGACAAAAATCAATCAATAATTGTTCTACTCACTGCCTGGTCTGTAACCAGGATACATATTTGGTTGTGTGTGTGTTTATGTCTGTACGCACTGTTTGTGTGTGTCACTGCACTGTCTTGTGTGTGTGTGTGTGTGTTATGAGTGCTATAACTCAGCGAGCCAGTGACACTCCTCTGTGTTTAATCCCGTCTTCCAACCCCCCAGTGAGCCGTCACTGCTGCAGGGAAGACAGAACATCGGTTCACACACATCAGTCACGCATGTCTCTCTCTCACACACACACACACACGCGCACACACACACACACACACACACAGTGAGGATGCATGTGTGAGTGTGTGCACAAACACACACATACAAGGGGAGTTTATACCAAATATCTTACAGGCCAACTACCTATTACTCAGTCACACACAACTTTATTTGCAGCCGTTAAGTGAAAACACAGGGAGCATTACTCAGGAACAAGGTCTAGCCTGTAGCTACAGTGTCAGCATGGATCTTATTGTTGAATAACTTCACCCCTCCCTTACACTGTATTTATATTTTCCTGGACCAGAAGTGATAACTGTGTTTCAAGAGACACAAGATTTAACCACAGCGCTATTTCAGAGGAAGTCGAGGTGTAGCGTCTGCCAGGCAGGGACGAGGTGCGGCTGTTGGAGAGAATCAGGGGCGGAGTAGCGGGGTGTGTGTAAGAATTAAGGGTGAGACATCAGGGGGCGTGTGTTTGCTTAGCTTTGATGTGGGGCTAAATCAGGGAGGCGCAGGGCCTGGCCCGCTATTTGCACTCTTTAACACACAATGCCCATCTCCATCTCTCTTTCTCTCCCTCCGTCCCTCCCTCGCTGCATTCACGTGCACAATGAGCGCTCAGCCGAGTGTAACGCCTGTTGACCGTTCCGACCTGTCGGCCGAGTTACTCGATGTGAGGGAGGGGAAAGCGGAGGGATGATGGAACGAGAGGATGAGTGGCTCGTTGGGGAAGAGAGGAGAGAATAGTCTAGATGTGGAGCGAAAGTGATGTGGAGAGGGATTATGGGTTTGGGAACAGGATTAGCTCTAGTGAATAGAGGTGAGAAATCACCAGCACAGCTCCCAGTAACATATTCTCATCATTTGGTCACGATACAACATGACGATGATGGTAGGCAGCCTGGTTTAGTGACAGAGTCAGTTACCATATATCATTGTTTCTAACATGTACACTTCCTGTACACTGAAACAGTATTCTCTGAGGTGGGCCCCGGTAAAACATATATAAACTTCAAGGATATTCTTCCCTGTGCCACATTAAAACCACATTTTTGAGTTTTCATTTAATTTTTCAACATGTGTACATTGCTCACTTTTCATTCAAAGTAGAAATTTTCATAAGAGTACAGCGCTGGATATAAGGGATTGCTGTCTTATTTAATTTCACAGCTATGCAGCAACCATGCAGTGATTAAGAGAGTATAGCTGTTGAAAGTTGGACATGAACTTCACCACTTTGCACAGCCAGTATAACAGGAAAACAGGGAGAGTGTTTAAGTGAGTTAAAGTTAATAATTAGGTAAGGAAAAAGATGACTGGGTGCTCTGTATAATCAAACCTAAATCAAAAATATGAGTCAGGTTAACAGGATAAACAGGTAGGCACTCCAACATGTAAGAGGACCACTTACAACAACGGCCTTTTAATATTTTCATCCTTGTTGATACATTTTGGAGTGCTTTCCTTACCATTTATCCTAAGAATTAGGCTCTTATATTATTTAGGTAATTATATTATACAGGCTGTTGATGTTCTGTTGGCTACATTTCACACTTGAACTTGTAGACCAGTGTTTTTTTAAACACCAGAGGGCAACCGAAATCTCAAGACACACCTGTATTCCACAACACTATCAGGGAAGTCCTATGCTATGACATTGAATTCACCTGTCTATCCTTCTACCTGGGGAACATGGACTTAGAAATACTTGAAAAGGACAGATATCTTTTGAAAATCTTCATGGCGGCAAGTAAAAAGGCCATAACACGGCAATGGCTTCGTGGGGAACCCCCCCCCACCCCCAATCAACGAATGGATTACCTTAATCAATGACATTCAGTGTATGGAACGAATGACTGCAAAAGGACAAAGGTGACACTTTTTGGAGAAAGTGGGACTCATACCTCACATAAAGAGGTGGCAACTTGACATGCATCTGAAATACTCTGATTAGTGCATATAACAAGAGTACCGTCATAGTCTTTAACAAACAACTCGTGCCCCTGTTCGTTTGTTCTCCTTATTTTTTTTAAAATTATTTTCATGCAAATTGCTGTTGACGAACAAAGTATCTCCTGTAACTCCATTGTAAGTTACCTGTAGCAGTGCTTACTGTACAGAATTTGCACAAAAATTTGAAAAATAAAGTTGTTTTTTTTTTAAAAAAAAAGACACACCTGTGTATATATATCTGTGCACAAAAACTTTTGCAACGTGTTATCACTTATTACGACATAAGACAATAAAAATTAGAAAAAACGAGACAGGTAGTTTTTGTGGTATTGTCTACTGACAGTTTTTTTCTCTTTTCTTTTGGTGGTAGGTCTTTGCTGGTTCTCTGTTGTAATCTGCTCTGTACAATAAAGCCATCTATTGTACTTTCTCCTTTTAAATGTTATCATCCCTCACACTGACTGCCAATCAGGGTTTTTGATGTGTCACTGTGTCACACATAATTCCCACTCACATATGGTGACAAATAGGTTCCCTGTGTAAGTCTTTTAAATTAAATTAAACTAAATGTAATTACATTTTTTAGGTGGAATTTGCCTCTCTGCTAGGAAATGGGTGCGCACAATATACTGGTACAGTTAATTAAAAATTCATTCATAACTTTTTCTATAGGCTCAGTTCAGCATTGCAGTAATAATGTGTGAATATCACAGAATCCCACGGCACACCTGATTTGGCATCACGGCACAACATTTAAGAACCACTGTTAAAGACAAAGAAATGTACCTACTAATGTTGTATGGATTACTTCATTGTCATAATCCCATGATGCACACCTGTTATATACAGTATATTATGACTTTCTTTGATAGAAAAGGGGAAAAGCAATAGACCGTATAGAAAATTGGACGTAGCTACCGCAATGTCCCCCATTGGTTTGCTGACTCTCGTTTTAAAGCCTCGAGTTTGGCATTTAGACCACTGCCATCTTGTTTTTTTGGGGCTAGAAGTGACCATATTGGAGGGTGGATCTGACTCAGAGTCAGTCAGAGTGGCCCACCTTAAAATATGCATAGCTTCAAGCCTTAATAGAAATTTAAACAGGTGAGTTACGTTAAAAGTTCAACCCCCTGCTGTTGTCATGAATGTGACAGTTTTTGTACCAGGCCATAAACATGTTTATTTCTACTGTAATATTGGGCATTTTAACATGGAGGTCTATGGGGAGTGACTAAACTGTGGAGTCAGCCTTGAGTGGCCTATTGATTCAGATAAAGGAAAAAACACCTAACAGGGAAAAAATGGAATGAACCTCAGCAAGAGCAACAGAGGAGGGATCCTTTACAAGAAAATAATTATATAAAGAAAATACTTTGAAGATTTTAGCTTAATAATACAGCATTTTTACCAATGTGGTTATTTGGCTGAAAAAAAAAAAACAAAGCAGTGAAGCTGTCTTCCTGGCATCTATCTGACCCCAGGTGTGCGCCAGGTGAGATGAGGTCAAGTGAGGTCCAGCGTCTGGGCCAGGTGGTCAGAGACATGGATGGTCAGTTCGGCTCAGGTGTCTATTATAGCACAGGGCCGACGGAAGTGTCCATTTCCTGTCTTCCCTCCGGGGCAAGATAAGAAACTAACACCAGCCTCGAGCCGTAACACCGGTCACCTGCTGGCGAACCTCGGCACGAGCTGGACGGTTAAATCTACCAGTGAATAGTGGTCATTAATTCAAGCTTTCGATACAAGAGCTGGGTGGTTGTTCAGCAGGGAGAACTTCCTTTATCTGGTCCAAGCATCTGTTGAAGTGTTCTCAAGGAAGATGTGAACTCCCTCTCAGCTCCAGGGGTGATGCTTTGCTCCTTAAAAGAAACTCTTATCACAATATTATATGCACATTTTGTCTCGGTTTAGCTATGAAGGTAAAATACTGTTGTAATTTACAGATAACATTGTTTTGACACTTATAAAATTTTATTAGGAAGTCTGTAATTTTAACTTTGGCCCACTCCTTTAAAATGGGAATTTAACCTAATTAACCTCTGCATGCCTTCAGTTTGGCGTCAAATTAGTGCTGCAACTCTCCTCCTTAATGTCCCAAATAAAGTTAGCCACTTGATCATCAGTTGATTAGCAAAACTATCAACTGTTTTCAAAAGCTCATTAGTTTTAGCACTATCCTGGATAATTAAATCTCCCTCTTTCATCTTTTTAGCTGCACTTCCCTCCTTTCATCCACTCCTCCTCCTCCTCCTCTCCGCAGTTTTCCTCTCTTTATCCCTGTCGTGTTTACCTTCCTGATGCCATTAACCCTTTTCAGACCATCTCGTTTCTTCACACAGCCCTGCCCAGCCTCGTGTGACCAACCGTAGTTTGTGTGCGTCTGTATGTGTCTCGGAGGATGCATCGATGTGTTTGTAGAAGTGCTTGCAAGGGTGAGAGGAGAGCCCTCCGTGGGTCAAGGCCCCCCTGCCGCCCCCAGCCACAGTGATACAGTAACAAAAGGGGACCCCCCAATAGTCCTTTATACTCCCTCAGCAAGGTCAGACACAAAGACCTGGCCAGGCTGTTCTCAGCATCGCTCTCCCACAGGAATGTTCTGTAGTGCAACACAAACTACTACAAGTCTGCTCTTATTTTAATTATGGTTTTTATTCTGTTTTTTAGTTTTACTGACATACTGGAGCCATTTATTTGGATGGTACACTGTACTGTGTGTACTGTGATGTATACTTGCCTATGTACCATGCGTGTTACTGAAGGATTCCACTAGAACCATACAGACCTAAACATGGAGACACTGGAGGAGGTTACTAAGTTGTTAATTCCAAAATCACTAAATCAAAGCAGAAAAAGCGACAATGAGGCTACCCTGACCCTACACAAAGCTACACCACTACTATCCAAATGCGACATATGTCTGACCCACGGCAGCAGTTTCGGGCCAGAGCCGAGGAAACACACGCATTTCCACTTTAAAAACGCTACAAGCAAAGGGCTCATGTTTTCTTGTATCACTTCTCCCTCGTCTCTTCCTAATTTCAGTAGTCTGTCGTCTCATGCCTGGCAGGTTTGGCAGAGTGCATCTAGTGCGCATGGTGATCTATGGCCATGTGATGCACAGATGATGATCACCACTCTTCCTTGTGTGTTGCGTTCATTTCTCTGACTGCTGGGAAGGCAGAAGGAAACACTGCCAACCAAGTCACCTTGCAGCCCCCTCTCTTTCTCTCGTTTTCCATCCCTCTCAGTTTTTCCATTATTTTACTCCGTCGTTCTGTCACTTTCCCTCTCTGTCGCACTCCCCCCATCTTTCTCTCGCTTTCCCGCTTAATGTAGTCTATGTAAACTTTTGCCATTTACGCACAGAAACTGCTGGTTTCATTAAAAAATAAATAAATAAATAAAATAAAAAAAAAAAAGCAGAAACCAAACGCGATTCAAGCCCCGGTTTAATGATGAGAAATTACGGCCTGGCGCGAACCTGGCGGGTCTGGTCGGGCCCAGTCGGAGTCAAACAGAGAATCAGAGCTCTAGTGTGACATAGAGCTGTAACGATTTGTCAACTGACTTATTAATCAACAGACAGATAAATAATTGTCAACTATTTTGGTAATTGAATGAATGTTAAAGTAATTTTTCATGCACAAATGGCAGATAGTGCTGTTTTCAGCCTCTTGAATATGAAGATTTTCTGTGTTTCTCTGTTTTATATTATATTAAACTGAATGTCATTGGGTTTTGGAAAGACTAAACAACACATTTGAAGACATCACTTTGGACTGTGAGATACTGGGATGGACATTTGTCACTATATTCTGACATTTTATAGACCGATAAAAACGCTTAATTGATCATTTTAAAAAAGTAACCAGCAGACTTAAATGATAATGAAATTAATGGTTAGTTGCAGCCCACTGCACCTGCACCCACCATTCATGTATGTGTTGCATCTTGAGGACACATTGCGTTAATTTCTGAGGATGTGCACAACCGATTTTGAGATGTAAGGCTCTGGGAAATTACAACCAGCATTTTTCATTATTTTCTGATAAACATTTCATAGAGAAATTATTTGCAGTCATCTTTAGTGTAAGTAAAAATGTTGGTTGCATCCATTTATTGTTACATACTCCAAATGTTATGCTGCTTCAGTCTACTGTCAAATGTGTTTTATTTTTAAGACATTTTTGTCCTGTCAAAATATCTTATTTTCCTTTTTAAAACAGTACTTCACTGTGTGTTACTCTTACTTTAATTTCACACCTCACCTATAAAGTGACTGTGTGGTGTTATATCAGAAGTGACTTGTGAAGTCTCTCCATCCTTCCTGAGGTCGTATCTCCTCCCAGTACTCGTTTTAAGAGCACAGGTCCTCCTAAAGAGAAGCTGTAGTCTGTTACGTGGTCAAGCACAGATGCTCTAAAAAAGGGGTCCGCCTCATCCTCCTATGAATAATCATTTTGCTCCATTTAAGCCCTCTGAGGCCTCCTGCCATAACCATTTAGCTGAAAATGATCCATCACTCCCTCCCAGGCTGAATTACACAGTCGCAGGTTTAATGGCAGCCAGCAGTGTACTGGCAGGGTTCATGTTTCGGCCATCGCCCCCGTCCTCTCTCTCAGTGGGCACACACTGGCTGACTAGTTTTTGTGTGTGTTCATGTGCATGTCTGCGTCTCAATGTCAAAGCCACTGCTCACGTTCACGGTGGCAAATGTAAAACGTGCGAGCGAGTGTGTTCTGTAGACGGAGAGACGGTACCTGGAATGTCCGTTGGGTCACAGTGAGTGGTGTTGCCGAGGTACTCGTGTTTGTTCTATAAGGCGGTACGCTCCAATGAAGGGCTACACACAAACACACAGACCCCCCCCCCTCGCCAACGGCGCCGGAAACAGGCCCGACCCTTGCCCCTTCAATGTACACATATGTACATGTTACAAAGCAGACTACTGTGTATTGAGAGAGGGGAGCAGCCACTGGAGTGTATCCACCATAACGGAGCGGACTAGAAATGGAAGTAAATCAGGTGGAAGAGTCGTGGTCAATTGAGGAATTAACATCTGTGCAGCGTGTTTGTTTTCAAGCTGTGAGGATGGGAGAAACTTCGTTAAAGGGTCAAGGTTACACTCACAAAGGAAGCAAGTCTCTTCCCAGTCTTAAATCCAGTCTGCATCTTACTTCCTGTAACATGGCTACATTGTCAGGTGCTGTGACACATGCTTGCCTGTGTCTTTTTGGGAAACCGTGGGTACATTTACATGCACGCTAATATTTCACTGTTATTTCAAACCTGACAATATTCCAAGATTGATATGGGTCATGTAAACAGCATATAGCTACTTCTCTGAATGAAACTTTTTCTGATTAAAACATGGAATATACTGAAATTATTCGGGCTTTGTAACATTTTTTGGACATGTTTACAGCATATTTAGAACATACTTCTCAATTGGGATTTTTACCACACTTCTCGGCACACAGCTCTTGCCTATTTACTTTCGGCACTGTATGTTGTCATAAATTTGTTGTACACAAACCAACTAGCCAGCAGTTTCCAAGGCTGGTGTAGAAATGCATGCCCAAAATAAAAGCCCACATTTTTTGGTTGAAAGAAGAAACACAGCCACTTTAAACACCATTAAAGACTTCGATATCCATTTTTTGATAGGTGCAAATATTGCAGAAAACAAGCAATATGCGGCATGCTTGTTGAACTCAAAGAAGGTCCAAAGGCCAGAACGTCATCAAAATAAAATAAGTCTATTGCCTGCGATCAGCACCTCAGTATAATTTTTGGTGTGCGTTTCTTTTATATTTTAAACGTGCAAATATTGCAACATCAACCTTTTCAAGAAGATGGTTGAAGGAATGAAAAAGGAAGGCTGTGTTCACACGGTTGAACAAGAACTCTGACAAAATCCTGGCATGTCATGATAAACGGCATGTTAGGGCATGTTCATCAGAATATTTGCCATGTAAACAGCTTAGTAGGAATGTTGTCTTTTTTAAATAAAGGCTCTAATGTTTGTGGATATAAACATAAACAGCTTGATTAGGGTTGGGCAATTTGACTATACATGCTGTGGGAGTTTAGATGTTTTAGCAGGTAGCTGTCTCTTTAATATCTTTGGTTGTATTAGGCTACTGAGGGCACTGCTGCTTTATATGACAATATATGACAATAATAGATTTACAGTACTTTTGCATTAGTATGATGAAGAACATAATCTGTTTTTTTAATTCTCTGGATTTACCAAAATTCAGAGACCCTCAGATACTTCATTTTCTTACTATATCATGATATATATGTTGATGTAACAATATAAATGTATGAATGCCACAAAGACTCAATTGTATCTTTGAACAGTGTTGGCTGCAAATACAGAATTACTGCTGTGGAAAGACTTGGTCTGTGTGCACGTGTGTGTTAATATAATATGAGTTCCAGGCAGGATTGTTACATGTATTTAAATGTGTGTCTGTGTCTTTTGTTGTTTTCCAGTGTGGTAAAGGTTCTGCTTGAAGCCGGTGCTGACCCAAATGCCGGAGACGACTTCAACAACGTTTACGACACCTCGCGGGAGAAAGGCATCCACTCATTGGAAGGTGAAAGCGAAGAAAAACCCCACTTTGTGACTGTGCGTGCATCCATCATGCGTGTGTTTGTGTGTGTGTGTGTGTGTGGTTGGTATATTACACGTATGAATCCAAAGTGTTGAACCAGATATTATGAGACATTATAATTTGCATAAAGATTTGCATATATGTACATGTTTCATTTCTTCCCTGTTATTTATTTTATATGTTCTGTGACAAGTGGTGTGTGTTTTATTTGTTTATTCTTCCGAGCTGCACACACAAACACGGAGAAGATGGCACTGGCACACACACACACACACACACACACACACACACACACACACACATACACACACACTTTACCCCCCCTAGTCTGTGTTGGGTTTCTGCAGACATATTTATATGGGATATGTATATTGCAGACATTTATATGGCTGTCAGGTTTGGGTCCACGTGGGGCCGGCGTAGCGTGGGGAAGCGTTTCCCAGACGCACGCTGATGGATGGGCTAGGGGGGCCTGTGCGACGCTTTATTGGGTTAGCTATGATTATCCCGCCCTGTCTCTCTCTCTCTCTCTCACACACACACACACACACAGACGCTGCAGAGAGAGACTGTCGGAGAGAGAGAGAAAAAGAGTGGGATGGATAGATGAAGGGAAAGACTGATGAAGGAAGGAAACATGACAGGAGGAAGGCAGTGAAGGGGGCAAGGGAAGAAGCTAGGGAGCAGCGATGGAGCGAGGGAGGTTAAAGATGGAGGAGAAGGAAGAAGACGTTTGGGGTGATAGAAGGAGGGAGGGATTGGAGGAAATGGGTGGGATGATGAGGGAGTGAGAGGCGAGGAAGTCAGGAAATGGATGAGACAAAGTTATTGGGATAGAGGGAGCGGGGAGGGAGGACGAGGGTGCAAGCGATGAAAGGAATTGATGGATACGGAGGAGGAGAGGAAGGAGGCGGAAAAAATAAAAATGGATGATGGAGGAGTGGCACGAGATGAGTGCTCTTATGAAAAAGAGAAGTAAGGAGAGAATGATAGACTGTCTCTATTATTAGTGAGGAGCACAGCAGAGGAGACCCTTAAACACAGCTCACATTATTCCTATCGTGTCGGACAGTCAAGCTTAAATCTGTGAAAATGAACAACTCTTCCAACGCTGGAAACAAGAAAGACAATTTTGTAGTCTGCAGTGTTATCATTGTCACACTTTTGGAGCCTTACCATGACTGTGAATAGATTAAAAAACGCTATTCAGGCTCTCAAGGCTCAGACATTTCCAGTTAAAGGTGCTCGTTAATTCATCATACTCATCTTCTTAGCTCCACAGGGTTTACAGGTTGCATCTTACATTGGAGCCGGAAATAGTGTGTGTTTTGTGCCTTTTTTTCTGTCGACCAGGGCATGTTCTGCAAAAGGAAGCGCTTGTTCTAATCTTTCTTGTCTCTCTGTCATTCTCTGTCCCTCCCTACAGTCCTTGTGTCCAGAGAGGATGAATTCAGCAGCAGGCTCAGCAGCAGGGCCGGCTTCCGGGGTTGCACAGCGCTTCATTACGCCACGCTGGCTGATGACCCACGCACTGTCCGCATGCTGCTGGAGGCTGGTACGTTGAACCCCACCCATGAGGGGTGGGCGATATCGCCAAAATCTTTTATCATGTTATATTTAATTTTATATCATGGTAACAATATATTAGCCTGGTGAGACCATCCTGATGATGTGAGCTTTCTGTGTCAGTCTGGCCCTACTGCCACACCAAACACTGAGAAAAAGAAAAATTAAAACCCAATCAGGGATCCACACTGTAGTTGACAACGTAAGCAGCCAATCAGGACTGTGTTGTAGTTGATTACATAAATGCAGGTGGCAGCTTGCAGAACCGTAGTGGTGGCTTCTGCTCCCTAGTAGAGTAAACACAACAATAAGTAAAGTTATTGCAGAAATAGAATCCATAACAACATTTAAAGGGACAGTCACCCAAAAATGAAAATTCAGCCATTATCTACTCACCCTCATGCTGAGGGAGGCTCTGGTGAAGTTTTAGAGTCCTCACAACACTTACAGAGATCCGAGGGGGGAGTGGGTAGCAGCACAACTGCACACCTAATGGCTGACGGCGCCCCAGATTAAAACGTCCAAGAACACAGAATTGAAACCACAAAATGTCTCCATACTGCTCGACCGTAGTGATCCAAGTGTCCTGAAGCTCCGACATGAAAATCTATTTGGAAAAACGTCATTTGAACTGCTTGTGGTTCTCGTTAGAACTCTTGTAGTTCATGTAGTACTTAATATAATATTATCTGTAGCTTGTAGTTCTCATTCTTCTTCTGAAGAAAAGACGTTTTACGCTGGTCTTCCAACTGGATTTGGCAAAAGCTTGATTTATTAACTGGCTCCACTGGTGAAGATGTTCCACTGTGTTTTGTTTAAGTTCGTCTGTCAAGGCGAGCACTCCTGCCCACTGAAAGTGTTTGGGGCAGCAGTGGGGCCAGACTGATACAGAGAGTGAAACAGAATGTTGAGCTCATCTCACCAGGATGGTCCTACCAGGCTAACAATATATATTATAATACAGTAATTGCTCTGAATGTTCAGTTAAGGAACGGTTTGCTTACTTCATCACATTTGATTATTTTCTTCTTTTATTTGGAGCTTTAATACAAGCAAAAAAAACTGCCCCACATGAGACAACAAAAAAGAAAGGTTTAAGGTTCCTGAGAAATAATTTTAATTTAATTTAAAATGTTTCTACATCTACAACTTCTCTCTCCTCCTCCATGTCTGCCCAAAACATGCTACCCTGCGATGCTGGATTCACATGATCACGTGAGAATCCAGTCCCAATTTGATACACAGCCTGCCCCGAATAGCTTCTGCGATTGAAACTGTATTGCCAAATCTCTACCGGTGGACACATTTCTACTGTTATTGCCCAACCCAAGCATCCCTAACTCAACTTCAGAGTCCATGAGGGATCTCTGAGGGTCTAAATATCTACACATAGTCTGCAGTTTAATTTCATGGTAGTATGATTCTTAAACGTGGACCAAGAATCTCCTTCTTTTTTAGTATGTCAACCTAAACAGTGAAAATCTTAAGCGAGGTTATGACAGTAGGGGGTCCTTGAATTTGCCATGACTCACGTGTATGCTCCCCATTTACATTTATAGTATTTTGGTGTTTAGTCTTCAGAGAAAGGGAGGAAGACAACGGATGAGGATTTTTGCCACTACTGCTTAGATGATTCGAGTCCTGGGGCCCCCAGTAGTTAAGTAGGTAAGGCGTGTGCCCCATGTACAAATGCAGTTTCCTTGCTGCAGCAGCTGTGGGCTCAATTCCAGCCCGCAGCCCCTTGCTACATGTCATCCCCTCTCTGTCTCCCCACCTTCACACTTTAAACTGTCCTTTCATTGAAGGCAAAAAAGACCCCCAAAAACAATCTTTAAAAAAAAAAAAGATGATCCAGTCCGTCCCTCGTGAGGAAAAACTGCAAAAAAATCCAGCTGTCACCTGGACTCTGTCAGTCTCAGCTAAAACAAACTGACAGAACTCAATTATATTGTCGACCTGAAGGGAAAAGTCCCAGTGATTTAACAGAATGTCTTTATCTGTTGTTAGGCTGGATAAAGCTCAAGCTGTATTCAAATGACAGTTACTTTGCTCATGTAATACTGTGGAGGTTATGTTTTGGGAGAAGATTGTTTCTGTGTTGTTAAAAGCCAAAAAATATTTATTCTAAGGAGCAGTTTATTAATGCGAGGAAACAAATTGTTAATTCAAGACACATGTCAGGCTCCTCACCTTAGCCTTTGCTATACAAACTAAATGGTTCTCATTTTGTCCTCAGAGCTGAAGGCAGCATCACCTCAGCTTTAAGAAGCTTTCCATGTATCATCATCTTAACACTCCCACCCCCGAGTAATATAAACAGTATTACAAAGCTCATTTGAAATTGATCACTTGTTCATACCCCCTCTCTACTCACCCCCATTACACTCGCACCTGTCGTTGACTCAGCTCCACCGACACACACACACACGCACACACACACACACACACACACACACTCAAAGACCCTCGGGGCAGAATATCCCCCTCAGTTTCCAGACGAGCAGCTCTTAAACAAGCGAGGCCTAGTTGAACTGTGACCTCCGCACAGAACATGCCCTTGGGGTAACTCCACAATCACAGAATGTGTGTGTCTTTGTGAGTGTGTATATGTATGAATATATGTCTTTGTGTGCACATGTGTGTGCTTGTGCATGAAATTATTAATATATTCATGTACGCTTTTTTGATATGTTTAAGTACGTACACGCCTTTTTGAATCTAACTTGGGGGGACATTTGTAGTCGTTGCTTTTTAGGCTGATATGTTTTTAATCTAAAAAGATTTTTCCATTTTTTGGATCAAACACCCCAACCACCATCAGTGCATACACACACACAAACACACAAGCTAGTATTAATGTCTTGTTTATGTTTATGATGGATGGTGCATCCAGAGCTCTGTCTGCTTGCCGCCCCTCCCGTCTCACTCCTGCGTCAGTGAGCAGCACTCTGTACGCTTAAACAAATCACTCGGTCTAACTTGATCAAATGTTCTGCAGACGCATTTTTGAATTAAAAAGGTAAGAAATTTCACAAAGCAGAGACATTTGTTTTAAGTCAATCTGATTAAAGACAGGGTGGGCTTTTGCGCACCCGACTGGGTCGTTGCCGGTTTGGCGCCACCATCGCGGCCAATAACAATCATGACATCACACACTGTCAATCACCGACATATTGCTGCCCGTGTGTGTGTGATTCTTTGTAATTAAGGACTTTTATATTAGTTTTTAATGCGTTTGATTATTGTTGACAAAGCGTGTGTTATTGCTACTCCCTTTTTTTCTTGAATCCATTTCCTCTTTGTCGCCTCCTATCCATCTTTTTTTACATCATCACAAAAAATCTTATAAACTGCACAGCTTCAGGACATCTATGTGGATTTGGATGTGTGTGTGTCGTCTGATTGTGCATCATCTTCCCTTCATGGATGTGCACAATGCGTGCGGATCTGTGTGGAGTTGTGTGTCTCCTTTACCGTCTTATTTCCCTTGTGTTTGTGTGAGTCCACGTTACTCCGCCAGCCGTGGGTTTGCTCTTTTGGCCTTAGCCGGCCCTCGACTCGCATCTCCATCCATCACAGTCTCCAGGCCCACCCTTGGGCCTCTCCTCGCCCCTCAGTCCCTCGCCCTACCTGCGGAGGCTCTCTAGCTTCTCCCCAGGCTCCACATCAGGCCCGTGGCCACAGGCGCTCAGTAATGGACGGCTCCGTAGGTGGTAGGAGGCCAGAGGAGACACACATGCTCGCAGACACACACAATACAGATACAAGGACACACATGCACAAAGACCAGCAGGGGCTCTCTCCCACCAGCTGCAGTGAAAGAGAGGGAGGAGGAAATAGGAAAGAGGAGGGGACTCCTAATAGGCATAACTAAAGCACTCCTAATGAAGGGATCCTGTGTATGCGTGTGTGTGTGTGTGTGTGTGAGAGAGTGTGAGTGTGAGTGTGAGCGTTCAAATGGGGGGGGCTGTTTGTGTGAGTGTCGTTAGTGTTGATCCTGTTATAAAGTGCTATGGCCCAGAGGGTTGGCCTGATATTAAAGCCCTAAATGATGCTATTTATTATGTCCAGTGTGTGTGTGTGTAGGGTGGGGGGTACTTTATTGCTTTCCTCCCTCATGTTTTTGGTGGGTGGAGGGATTAGTGGTGTACGGTGGGATCGATAGCTTCGTGAGCAGGTCACAAAATTTAGGGGTTTATCGATAATGATCACAGTGATTATTAGTCTCTGCGGTCGGTGCTCAGAGCGAGAGGAACAACCAGCACCTGTAATGATTACAGGCACTGTGAAGAGTTTTTCTGAGTGTAGCTCACTCAGAAAAACTTAGAGTACAACTTAGTGTAGTTGAGATTTGGTACAAATATCCGCTCATCAGCTGAGCAGGTACAGCAGAGACCTGAATAGATAGATGATGATTCAATATATCTTAAAGGTGTATTGTCACTTATAATGTGTCAGTGATTCATTTTAATCACACTATATCCTCATAACATAGAGATTTCATTGTATTCCCTGCTGACTAATCATTAAGTGACACATTTTATGTCACTCCCTGCACTTCCTCTCGTGTGTCAGCAAATTTAAAGTTTGTTAAATTATATTAAGGCCCAAAACTAGCAGATCAGACACTGTCCGATCAAAGAGTAAGTAATGATGAGCACAAATCTGATCAAGCATTCAAACTGCTTTCACTCCGACAAAGGCTTTAAGCAGAAATGTGTTGGTGTCAGCTATTAAACATTAAAGGCGTCTTAATATACTGAAGAACCACAGTGCCTTGCATTTTCCCCTCTTGTTGTTGGACTTCAGTTTCAGTTTGTGAGAGTAGATGGTGCTATGGATGCCTTTTGTTACAGATTGATCGATTAGTCTATCAACAGAAAATTAATTGTCAGCTATTTTGACAATCAAAAATCTTTACGTCACCTGCCTCCATTTAAGTAATATAAGTCCTCTGGTTAAAAGGGTGACATAAGCAATGCAGTTTGACTGTACCTGAAAGAAGAAAGGTTTTCACACTGAATACCAAAAAATGCTGTAAGAGGATCTGGATCAATTGTTGTTTCAAGGATTTTGGAAAGGGCTTCAAAAGTGGAGAACCAATAAATTAAGCGACGCAGGCAAGACCAGAATGTATGAGCCAGTATTGCAAGGGAACTTTTACATCTATTACAAGAATCATCTTTGAGATTTTGGGTATAGATTGTTGAAGTCTGTGTATCATCTCTTTAAGTATTTTTTTTTTTTTCAAGCTTAAAAGCCAAACATTTGCTGGTTTCATGCTTCTTAAATGTGAGGATTTGATGCTTTTCTTTGTCATCATAATAATAAAATGAATAGCTTTGGATTTTTAGATTATTTTCTGACAATTTATCAAGAAACTAGTACTCGATTAAATGGGCAGATTAATCAATAATGAAAATAATCATAAGTTGCAGCCCTACAGTAGCCAAAGCCTGGAGGATGGCATGTCTTAGTCGTCAAGTATCTTCTAGAGACCAAAGCTACACCTTTGTGTGTTTGTGTAGTGTCACTTTGTTTTCTTACAAAAAGAGTCTTTTCCAAATGTGAAGCTGATTTTGCAACAAAAACAAAGTTCCTTACATTATTTATAGCATTTTCATTTTGTCTTGCTTATAGCTGATGCAATGGAAACATTCACCTGTTCATGTGGAGGCACATATGTGTGGGTTGAGCGTGGTGGCACAGGTCAGGGCAGAAGGCACCGCTAACCACCCTCACTGACAACTCCTGGCACACTTCACGCACGCTGTGACATTATGGTTCTTTTCCTCATTCATACTCCGACACCTTAAAGATCCGTTTAGTAAATTTTTTTTCCTCCGTTTGACCCCTCCTGCTGTGTGATGTGCGTGTGCTCCTGTGCCTCAATGGCCCCCAACCTGCAACAACCTGTGCTGTGTATGGATTGTATAATAACCCAGGGTGTTGGTGTGCGGGTGTCGGGGTCAAAGTGTGTGTTATTGGCACGCGTTGTAGATATGAACCCCCTACAGGGTCATTGCATTGCCCTATTGCTTCACTTCAGTTAGTCTCGGTGACCCCTGAACCCATGTGACCTCTCACCCCTAAGCTCACTTCCTCCATCGACGTTTTGAGCCTCCTGCTGAGGTGGAGTGTGTAGCAAAAAAAAAAAAAAAAAAAAAAAAGAAATGTTGCTGCCCTGTTGTTAGTTTCTACCATTTTATAAGTGTCTACAAATAACTGGATTTGTGTATCTAACGTATGACCTGTATGTTTGTGTGTTGCATGCTTGCATTCAGGTGCCAACCCCCTGCAGACCAATGCTTTGGGACACACAGCACGGGCCTACGCTAAGGAAGGAGAAGTGAGCAAAGTGCTGCAGGAGTTTGAGGGCAAGGTATGACACTCATACACAGACACACACTCCTGTACAGACTGTGCAGAATGTACAAGCAAATTAAAAACATTAGTTTCCATGTACACTAATGTTTTGATGCTGCAGTAGTTTCCTGTGGCCTGGTCTGTATGACTCAGCGCTATTCACTCAGCAGACATCTGTGTCATTTACTTGCCTTCACGCACACAGACACACACTCCTCAGGAGGTCTGTGTCACTCTGCTGACTGAGTGACAGGTGCTATTGAGTGTAAGAGATGTGAAAGCTGGTCGAGGTTAACTGGGGTTAAAAACGTGCTGAACAAGTTGGATTATATATTAACAGTATATAGATATTGTTATATGGGGCTCTATATTAAACAAATTAAAAAAAATAGTTCTTTTTTGTGAAATATTTTTTCCGATAGTTGGTATTTTTTCCCGATTGTTAACATCGGTTTTAAACTGTGAACTCTGATTGAGGTTGATCTCGAAGCTTGGTTATCTTGTATCTGAGCGATGGTGTAGCATCAGCTGACTGCAGGGACCCCTCTCTGCTCAGCTCTCAGTATTTTCACTGGTGTATAGTAGTAGAGGTGAGGTCAGCTGTTTTCTTAAATAAAACTTGAGTTACCCGTAGTTATCTCCCAGCTTGACAGCGGGCCAGAGCTAAGCAAGATGAAGAGAGAGAGAATAAACAGCCAGCCTCCACTGCGGGGTGAAAACCTGTAGTCTGAGAGGACAAAGAGGAAAGGATGAATGAGGCGTTGGGTGGCTGTGAGAAAGAAAGAGGGAGAGAAACTGTGAAAATAAAGGTAGAGAAAAGATTTGGGCAGAGAAAGAGGTGGAAAAATAGATCAGATCAGCATAAAAGAGGGAATGCGTGTAAGAGAACTGAAGGCAAAGGCAGACAGAGGTAGTGTGTTAAAGAGGCGGGAGTTGGAGGGAGGAGGTGAAGGGAGTAGCAGAGACACCACAACCCTTTAATATGAAAAAAGGGAGAAACAGCTCTATTGTTGCATCTAGAATGGATTTTTTCAGTCAGCTTTGCACAACAATATAATACTGAAAACACACCAAGTAGCAGCAAAGTGTTCGGTGTGCAGCAATAAACAAAGATTAGAGACACTTATATCCACTGATGAATTTAAGGGCATCATAAAGAATGTGGTGGCAGAGACATGTGCTTGTTTTTTTTGAGAGGCCGCTATGTTTGAATAGTTGTTGTTTTATTGTGGATTTTTGTATTATATGTTGTATTTGTTGGATTTCGAATGTGTTTTGATTGGCTGCTACCTCGGCCAGGTCTCTTGTAAAAAAGATGTTCAAACTCAATGAGACGTCCTGGTTAAATAAAGGTTGAATTCATAAAAATAAATAAATAAAATAATTAATTTTACTGCGGTTGGGAGGCATGTCCATGTGTTTCAGATGGGAAAGAAATTCCTTCCAACATAAGTCACAGGAGTCACAGGACTTCACTGATTGCCTATGGGTATTCTCTGGCTGTAATTCACTGCTAAAAGTTAAACTATCCCAAACTTTATGTTTGGCTGCACTTCCCAGCAGAATTAAACAGGTGCACAGCTTTCCATAGTCTTTGCAAAGCAGTTAGCTGCAGGCCGCACTTTGCTGCTTCTTGGTGTGTTTTTGGCATGTTTGTTGTCTCTTTTTTGGCGATGAGCTGCAAAGTTTGTATGGGTGGTAAATGGGGCTGCACAATATGTGGAAAATATGTGATAATGCTGTTAAGTATTGTAATTACTCGCCATAAAAAAAATAGGTATTAAAGTGTACTCTGTTCTGCCTTTCTGCTGCTTCCAGTAAGCTGCTAAAACACAACAAATTGCTTGTTGAATTAAAACAATAAAAGGAAATTACTTCCAACATTATTTCATTCAACAAAGTGACCCACACACAAAGGCACCAATACAAAAAAGTGATCGTTCAGGGTGTCTACAGATCCTTAAAAAGTCTTAAAATGTCTTAAATTAAGTTTTCTCAATATAAGGCCTAAGCCTTTCTCCAGCCTGACAGACCCAATGACAGTTTACAGTCATTGAACAGACCGAAGATTTGCAATATAAATAGCATTTAACACATTAAACACCTAAACTCACCTAATTGTTGTCATTTTTCCTTACTGTTCATTTTGAGCTGACATCAGTGTGTTTAGTTAGAAAGAGTACTTATACACCCTAGTTTTTTGTCACACCCTCACACACACAAACACATATATATAATGTGTATTTCCATTACAGGTTTGGTCTTAAATTTCATGTAAGGTGGTATTAAAAAGGTTTTAAAAGGTCTGAAGTTTAACTTGGTTATATCTGTAGACACCCTGGTGTTACAATTTAATGTGCTGTCTTTGACTGATACTGTTTTAGCTTATCCAAAAATGCGGGTGCTATATTGCCGTCTTTTGCGATGTGTTTTTTGCACAAGTTGACATGGCATTGGCGATAAAAATATTGCGCAGCCCTATTGGTAAAGAAGTAAAGATGACAGTAAAGAGGAAGAGACTTGCAGACAGACTCTTCAGTGTCCCCCTGTTTTTCCCTGGAGAGCTGATTTCTCACCTGTCTCCCTTCTTGTCCTGAGTCATTGACTGTCTCATCTGTTTTCTGCATGTCCATCCTCTTTACCTCCGTCTAGTTCCAGGAGGCGCAGGCTCGGCGGGAGGCGGAGGAGAGGAGGAGGTTCCCCCTGGAGAGGAGGCTGAAGGAGCACATCATCGGACAGGAGGGGGCCATCAATACCGTGGCCTCAGGTAAACACACACACGGATCGTGATATATATGCGGCTAACACACAATGACACACCACATAAATAACAGGTGCACGTAAATACATGATTCAAAGCCAAACTCTTGTTTCCACACAGTTTCTCTTTCTTTCTTTCCACCATGTTCCTGTTTTCCTCTCTCTCATGCTCTCCTCCCTTCCCTCCCACAGTAGGCGGGTTCAGACAGACCGGCGGAGGCTGTAATTGGTTAATTGTGATGAATGAGCTGTCTGTCAGGCATACACAGGTGCTGTGTGCATGTGTGTGTGTTTGTGTGTGTGACAGCTGAAGAGGCCAGGCTTGGAGCCGCCAGTTAACACGATTACAGAGAGAGGAGACATACTACAGACCCCCCACCCCCCACCCCCCACCCCTCATCCTCTTTTCTCTCCCTCTCTCGGTCTCTCCTCCCTTTCTCTCCTCAGTGTCTCCCTCCATCTCTCCTCTCTTTACCCCCTTGATCTTCATCACACCCACTCTTTCTCCTTCACCTCTCTATCCTTCCCTGCTTCCACTTTGCGGCCTCCGCCTTCTGCATGTTTCCATCCTCTTTCCTCTGCGCCGTGCCGTCCATCTCCCTTCCTCAAAACACACAGAGTCAGGGATGGACAGGCGAACGGCAAAGTGATGGAGACAGGATGAGACAAACAGATGAGACAGGGGTAAAACAAACAGATGCAACGGGAGACAAAAAAGAGACGTGAACGTTGATGGGAGGAGATAGCAGAGAGGTGGCTGAGAAGCAGAAAGCTCGGAGCATTGACAGAAAGACGAAGAGAGCGAGTGTAATGCATAGAGAAGAGGAGGGAGGATGAGTTAGAGCACAATAACACAGCAGACAGTAAAGAGCTGATATTACACCAGGCATCCATGGAGGCCATGTATTGATCCGCAGATGAGAGAGAGAGAGTGTGTGTGTGTGTGTGTGTGTGTGTGTTCAGAAATGGTTCTGCAGCGGAGGAAGAGGCTGTGTGTTATTTTTATGATCTTGGACAGATTTGTGAAAATAATCAACTCACTCCCAAAGCTAGAAGCGGATATTATAATCTGTAATTTTTTCGTGAGAGCAAATACTGCGGAGTTTATAATCAACAGGAGAACAACTTGGATTTTTGCCTCCAGACCCTAAAAAAACTAGACCTAACTACAGTTGTGAAAATACAAACTATAGATGACTATAAGGCAGAATACAAACAGTGATTCAATGTGAGCGATGGTGTCAGGTAGTGTAGGTTTTGCTGGGAGTCGGTGAAGCAAGAGGGAATCTTGGGACTTGTAGTCTTTGGCAAGGTGATGAATGATTGTTGTTATCATGGCAAATTGTCCTGAAAGCCATAGAAGACGTCGCCACAGTGATAAAGGAACAGCTTATTGATCTCTGAGAAGTATTACAGTGAATATATCACACACACACACACACACTGAAAGCAAGCAGCATAACATGTGGGATGCCTAAAAGAGGCCAAGAGGCAGACAGAGGATCTACCTTCAAAGTGTTGTGTGTTGTGTAGAGCTGCAATTATTAAATTCATCCCTAACTAATTAGATTATAATTTAATTAATTTGAGTCATTTTGAGGGGAATAAGAGGTAAAATTCTCTGATTCCAGCGTCTTAAATGTCGCTATTTTCTAGTGTCTTTACTTCTCTGTGACAGTTAACCAAATATTTGAGGGGTTGTGGACAACACAAGACATTTAAGGACGTCATCTTGGGCTTTAGGAAACGCCGATCGACATTTTTCACAATTTTTCTGATTATTTATCGACCAAACAACTAACCGATGGATAAACTAACCATGTGTGTGTCATTTTGCCAGTTTTATCAAAGATGTTCAGAGCAGGAGTGATCCAACCTCTAGCTGAATCAGAGAGGAGGAGTAGGTAGAGATGTAGAGATGAGGAGATGGACCAGGAAAGAGCGGAAGGGATACATTGGAGATAAAGAGCCAACAAATGAGAAAGGGATGTACAGATAAAGAGAGAGGAGGGAGCTGCACACGACCAGATTATGTAATCGCAGAAGCACCACACACAACAATATATTTTACTTTATATCATGAGTTCTTGGAGTGATTAAAAATGTCTGTGGCAGGGGAAGAAACCTTTGTCACGTGTCAGATCTTCTTTTCTCTCCTTATCGCCCATGAGAGTTTCCCAGAGACAAAGATGACATTTTGAAACCTTGACGTCTCCTCATATATAAATGTCAGAAAATGGTGTACAAAAATGTCGATTGGTGTTCCCCAGAGCCCGAATGATGTCCTCAAATGTCTTCTTTTGTCCACAACCCAAAGATATTCCGTTTTCTGTCACAGAGGAGTGAAGAAACCAGAAAATATTTTGATTTTATTCAGTTTACAATGATATAAACCAGAGAAAAAAATAATTTGCCATTGATTTCAAAAAAAATGTTTCAACATTGGTTATCTCCATTTATATAGTTTATATATATTTATTTTGCAGACCAGAAGTTAAGAAATTTGCTTTGTTTTCTTGGTTTTAAAAATGCAACATATACACACACATTCACACCTATACATACATAGGTTACATTTGGTGTGTTGTCATGTCTCCAAAATGGCTGTTTCCGCCTGAACTCCTCATGACGAACAGCTGGCCTGCAGCAAGATACACAACCACACACGCAAACAAGGTACAAATACACTAACTACACACACACACAGGAAGGAGGTTAGATTGATCCAGGTTTAGCTCTCAGGGCTAAGAGTTATTGAGGAGAATCATCCCTCTGTAATCATGTTAGAGCCAACCAGACCTGCCCAATACACACTGCCCTGAGTGTGTGTGTGTGTGTGTGTGTGTGTGTGTGTGTGTGTGTGTTGGTGTGTATGTGTGTGTAAGAGAGAGAGAGCGCAAGCTTTCATTTGTTTTGTGTCTCCTTCCTTTCCTTGTTGTTGTCAGGGTCCTCTGAGAAATGTCAATGTGCCCTTCTGTCAAAGTCGGTCTCAATCAGCTAAAACACACACAAACACACACAGAAGGTTACGCTGTCATTCACACAGCCATTGATAAAGCAGACGGAGCTTTGGAGCCCCTCTTGTCACTATTCATCTCTGTGTCCATCTCTGACACACTCGTTTGTTTCTCTGTCTCCTTATCTCCATCACTCCTCTCTCTTTCCTCTCTTTATCTCCTTCTACATCCTTACTCCTCTTTCCTCTCCTTATCTTCACTCCTCCTCCTGCTGCTGCTGCTGCTTCCTTCTCTACCATGTCATCTCTCTACCTCTCTTCCTCTGCTCCTGCCAAGCATCTGTTCTTTATGATTATCAGCTATTAGTAGTGAGTTTAACACTCAGGCCTGGTGTCTGTCGTGAAGTATTTTAGCTTCACTGCATCACACATGGAGCCTCTGAGATTACAATATGTGAGCGGGAAAGGTCTCATGGTCTCATCTGTAGCTGTTGTTGGACTGTTGTTGACTGTTGCAGGAAGTTGAATAGAAGTTGTGGTTCCTTCTCTTTAGCAACTTGGCCACAGCCATCTCCTGCCACTTATCATCCACTGGCTGCACTCGATAACTTGCCAAGACATTGACACCTCTAAGATGCATTATTTAAGCTTGTTATCTCCAACTGTGTCGCTAACTGCAGACATTTATGCTGAGAACTTGTGTCGTTATAGACGGTTCGCCAGATGTTGTAAAGGTTGTGGGAAGTTGAGAAGGCACGTGGTAGGTGTATAAAAACTGGTCATAAAATGAGAACAAATGTGGCGTAAATTAACCAGCTTGCCAAACATTCACCAGTGTTTATGAGTTAGGATTTTAATCAATGTTGTCCTCTCACTTGTCAGATTCAAACAGACAGAGAACCTATGTTTTAACTGCTTAAATTTACAATTCAGATGTAGAGTCAGAGCCAACCCAAGGAAAGGCCTAGTGTGCAAGGTTGCATGTTTTGTGTCTCTAATAGGCTAAGAAAAGTTGGCCTGAGATGGCAGTATTAAAATGGTAAGCACTGAAATTTCTAATTAGAAATTGCAGACTTATATTAATTACTGCCGGGTGATATGGAGAAAATCAAATATCACAATATTTTTGACCCAATACTTCCATAAAGCTTTTGCGACAAGACTGTAGGGTTGATTATTGGTGCTTTCCAGGGTTCCCATGCATTAATTTATTTGTGGCAGCTTGACACATTATCACCAATTGGAGCATTTGAAACGCTAATATTGTTCTGTTATTCAGAGCACCGTACTCTCTGAGCGCATAGCACATTCTTGGCACAAATGGAGAAGCAGAGCACCAGGCGCAGTCAAATTAACTGATATAGAAATAGAGCGCTGTATTTTTTAGACCAGCGCTCCCATTTTAGTGTTGTCTGTATCTTTTCCAACCTACTTTAAATGAAACCAGCTGCGTTCCCATGGAAACCACACACCCCGCAGTCCAGCACTGGGTCTAAAAGTTTGCCTTCACCCACCTCTAATCCATCGATCAACTCAGAACAATCAGAGTTGACCTGATCACGCACTTTAACTGAAATGATCCACTCTGCAACTGCTGCTGAGAAAAAGAAAAAACATAGGATACAGGTTTATGTTAAACTTAAACCTTAATATACTGACTCTGATGCACCTCAAGCAACAAGGTGAGATGTAATATCTGGCATGTGTTACCTGAAAATGAAATGAAGCTAAATTTGTTGTTACACAGGATCCTGTTGAATCCCCTCTGCACTGTATAACAACAATCACACCATGTAAAAGAAATTATCATGATTTTGATTCCAGCTCTGCAACAGCCGGTCTGCCAGCATCAGTTGTACTGAGGCCCTGTCACACCTGGTATTAACATACGTCTTTGCTGATCTGATGGCAAGTGGATGCTTTAGGGACAGTGAGATCTGATCACTCAGACCATATTCGGAGATGATCATGGCTGCATATGGCCACATTCTTTCAGCAGTGTGTTCGTTAATGTGTCCTGGGCCACATTGTAGGACCGCCTACTTAGCTGACATCCTCTGCATAGGCAGAGTAGGTACTTATTAGTGCACCAGATATATTATGAGTGCATCAAGCATCTTGGGCAATTTGGTTTGCCTGCACCAAGGAATAGACCCTGTCTGACTTCTCCTGATTTTGCCCACGCGTCAAGGTCTGCAAACAACTTCCCCTTCTTCTTCATCTTTTAATTTCTGGCAGACTTGCACAGAAAGTGTATCACTGCCTCCTGCCAGTTAAAAACAACACATTTGGGCTTTGCAAACAGAAATGATCTCCGTGTTTATTTCCATATAGCGTGGGGAAGTGAGATCCGATTACAGGTGGTCACTCAGGTCTCGTGTGGAGATGCATTCTAATACCAGGTGTGAACAGAGAGGCATAAATCTGTCCCATTGTGTTCCGATCAACCAAGAATCATGTTAATACGAATTGTAAATGGACCCAAGAGGTCTTGAGGTGGATGCACAGCTCTCAAAAAGGAACTGGGATCATTTTTGTGTCAGCTTTAGGAGATTTACAAAATGACCCAATCAGGATACATTCACCCATGTCATATACCTGGTCAACGATTTTAGGGCTGGAGCCTCTCAGCTCCTAAAGGTGGGGCACACTGTGACACTGAACAGATTGCCAGTCTATCTCAAGGCTACCACAGAGACAGATATTTACAGTCGTATCTAAGTTTCAAATTAATCCAAAATGTGTGTTTGGACTGTGGGAAGAAAGCCACCGACACACAGCGAGGACACATTAAGGCCCCAGCCTGTCAGTTTATTCAAACCCAGGGCTTTTTTTGCTCAAGGCAACCAAAAGCCACTGTGCCACCTCCTTGCTTTGATCCTGTTGGCAGAATTCTGCTCATCTGTGGCTCAGGTTTTGGCCCCCGGCCTCTCAACAGCCTCAGATTTGGATGAGTTTGTGCTAGTGTCTGCTTCTTCGTCGAGTGGCTGAAACCATGGGCCAAATACACTCTTTACTCCCCTCCCATCCACCTCATCATCTTGTCTTTGTGTATGTGTGTGAGTGTGGTTGCTGGGGTGATGGCAGGGTTGGGTAGGCACTCCTCTTTAAGCAAGCGTGTGTGTCTGTGTGTGTGTGTGTGTGAGGCTGCGATCCATGCTAAACTGATTTCGCCATGGCCGCGCCAGGGAGGCTAACACAATTACTGCTGGCTAATGGCCCCACTGACTGAGGGGGGAAGAGAGGCAGCGTGGGTAGCTTTCTGGAGGTCTCTCATCTTGCTCTCTTGCTCTGTTTTCTCTCTTCTGTCTCTTTTTTTTTCTCTCCACCAAATGTCTTGACCCTTTTCTCATCCCTGCTCTCTCGCTCTTTTATCATAGTTTCTGGGATACCCGTCGCCCTCGGGTCAACTCGGTTCAGTCGGGTGAAACTCAGAATACTTGGTGCAAAAGCAAAGTCAACAAATGCAAATGAGTGAAATAATTGTCTCCTTTTCTTTCTCCCTCTGTCTGTCCCTACACTCTGTAGCCATCAGGAGGAAGGAGAACGGCTGGTACGATGAAGAGCATCCTCTTGTATTCCTCTTCCTCGGCTCATCAGGAATCGGTAAATTACTCTCTCATCTTTCACGCCAAACACTTCTTGTCTCTTGTTTGATCTCAAGAAGTAATTACAAAAAACTCCTCAGTTTCTTAAAAGTAGCTGCCAAATTAAACATGACACTTGAGTTTCTGAAGTTTGTTGAATGTATGTGGAGTGTATTTTCTTCTGGCCAGTCGACTGATTTCAAAAGAAACAGACTAAAAGAAGAATTTAAATCAGAATTTTTTACTGTTTCTCACATCTGATTATTGAATTAACTAATAAACTGTCAATATCTTGATTTAAAGATTTAAATTCAAACATAAAAAGAAGGGATGTATTTGAGCAAATAAAGACAAAAATTGAGACAATAATTTTTTCAAAGACTGTTCCTCCTTGCTAAAGCTAGTGTACTACTCATACAGCCAGCACAGTAACAAGTCGGCAGGCTAAAGTTATTGTTGGCAAGTTAGCTGGCTTAGTAAACTAAACTGTAAGATAATGTTAGTCCCGTTCCCAACGGCTAGGAGCTAACGGTGCTAACGGCAAGACCAGTGCTAACAGAGCTAACAGTGGTAACCTAGTCGGGAACAAGAGGGTGGGCGTTATGCTTCCTCAACCATACCGTCCTGCTGCTGTGGGTCGGGATGGTGTTATCAGTTGTAACTACCGTATGAGCACAGTGCCGATTGGCTAGTCACGAACATGCATGCGTAGCTGAACTGTCTACCACAACAACAAATAGAGAAGATCAAAACAAAGCAAACACAGAGGTAGCGTGACTTAAATCTCTCCTCAGGACGTCATTACTTCACTATAACTTTACATAGCACCTATACCTCTGAAAGTCGTGTATGGCTCATTTAAGTTATTTGTGTTATCACAGTGAACAGGCAATTTATGTAATTAACAATAGTTGGGACTGGAAAAGAATGACATCATTAACTTGGTAAATGTATTCTGTGGTTATATGCCATTTTCATGAGCAGTTTTTAACAACAGCCACTTTATACAAGTTAGATGTCACAACCTGTCTGACTTAGGAACAGCTTGGCAGTGTCACCAGATGTAGTCCCGTACACAAAGGCTCTGATTGGCTCGCTTGTTTCTCAATCAGTTTTCCTAGTGGGATAATAAAGATAATCATCAATCAATTTCCAACCAGGTGAACTACAGATGATCTAGAATTAGGGCTGGGAAAAACATCTATGTTATATTAATATTGTGATGTGTGACTAGGGCTGTCCCAGACAATTATTTTTCTAGCAACATTTATTAAAACATCATTGTTTACCCTTCAATGGTACCCCCAGCCCCCCCTTGAAGGTCAATTTTATTTAATTTTATTTTCTAAATAGCGCCAGATCACAACAGAAGTCATTTAAGGTTACCATTCCCATAGAACACGTCTATACCTGGTCCTTTTATTAAACAAACTAAACAGCCTTATGTTATTTATCTTATGTCATTTCTGTCTCTACATGGTCGCATGTTTACAATTCTCCTCGGCTCTCTGTAACGTGCACAGCGGAGTTCGGCCCCGATGCGCGCACAAACACACACAGACACAGGTGAGAACACTAGAGCACGATTCGGGCTGCATTTTCCTCACCCGGGTGAGACAATTATAACCCAGTCCGAACCCGCAGCACGGCACTGTGCACACAGTCAATGGAGCGGAGCCTGTGTTGCATTCAGGTGTTGTCACGTAAATAACAAATTCCCAGCCCTGTGTGCAACTAAATATTGTCTTAGATTTTGAATATGGTAAGAACCTAAGTGTTGAATTTTCCTAGTTTATCAAAAATCGCAGTGCAAATATTTTGTGAAAGCAACAACCCTATATATTTGTCACAATATCGACAATGAGTCATTTGGTTAAAAATATTGGGATATTTGATTTTCTCCATATCGCCCAGCCCTATCTTGAATCTTAGACAGAATCTGTGTTGAGGATGGTAATGTTCTTGAACCAAGCTAGAATCTGGTATTAACTAAGCAGAGCTGGGACTAAGGTACATGTAGTACACAACCTACAAATATTTTACAGACAAATGATAGCTTTACAACATAATGCAATTAATGTGAGAGAATAATAATTCTTTCCATTAAAGTAGTGTCCTCGCTTCATCCAGTGCTCAGGCCCTGATAAAGCCACATCCATTTCTAATCCATAGTTTAATGTATCCGATTGAGCTCTGGGTGTGCCAGCTGTCAAAAACAGCTGATTGCACTTTAAAACACTGGAGGAACCTCTTTGTGACACACAGCGCTGAGAGTGAGCAAGTCTCAGAACAACACTACAGTGGTTTCAATTAAAGATGCCCACTGGGGGTTAACTGAGAGCGACTGAATTCTGTCAGGACCTTACTGCTATAACAGATCCGCACCGACAGCCCTCCGTCCATACATCTGTCTGTCCGAATAAAGGCAAAAATGTAACACAAAAAATTCATTATTTGATTACACATAAGCGTATATCCTGTGAAGAATCACGGGGGGGCTAGAGCCTATCCCAGCTGACACTGGGCAAAAGGAAGGGTGCACCCTGGACAGGTTGCCAGACTATCACAGGGCTGACACAGAAACAGACATTCACGCTCACATTAACACCTACCGGCAATTTAGAGTCACCACTTACCTAACCTGCATGTCTTTGGGCTGTGGGAGGAAGCAGGAGTACCCAAAGAAACCCCACGTTGACATGAGGAGTACATGCTAACACCACAGAGAAGGGCCCCAGCCGGCCAGCGGATTTGAACCTGTAACCCTCTTTCTGTAAGGTGACCGTGCTAACCACTGCCCCACCATGCCGCCGCTATAACATTATAGGAAACCATTAAAGGAAGGCTGTATTTTTATTGAGGTGTCCAAAATATCAAAAGTGGAGACTGCTTTGGGCTAAGTAGCTGCATTGTGTAGGTAAATCTAAGTTTGGGATCAAGTTGATATCAGCAGATATTCAATATTAAAGGACAAAACTTGACATCTCCAGTTCAGAGAAAAGCCTAAATGTTCTCAAACAGCAGCGAGATGAAGAAGTGTGAGTGCATGTGTGTGTTAGAGTGAAGGAAAGAGGGAGACAGAGGGATATTAAGGGCCAGATAGATGGCTAAAAAAGAGGGAGACGGTGAGATGACAGGCCACAGATAGATGAAGGAGCGCTGGTGTTCATATTCTCTGTTGCCTTCAGCGACAGACAGTGGCCATGAGACATCAATATTAAACACAGCAACAAGACACACAGCCTCTCACACACACCACACACACAATCATCATACGCATACCAAACACAAGACATCAATATCATATATGAGCATATTATATGCAGAATATTTTAGCGACAAACATAATGTGTGCTTCTGGAGAGCAGGAGATGATTTAAAGCTCTGTAGAGGGAGGCGCTGGGATTTAGGCCAGCACTTAGAGAGGAAGAGAGATCGTCTTTCTGTCTGAAATGAGTAAGCTTGTTTTCCTGAAATCTCTGCATACTGATGTATTCCAAAAAAGCAGGCATTCTTTTTTATATCAAAAGCAAAATAATTAAATGGAAGAAGGAGCTGTTCCTGTTTTAAGCTGAATGATTAAATGATGTCTCTGTTTTGCCCGACCGGCTGATGGCGGGTCTCACAGGAAAGACCGAGTTGGCCAAACAGGTGGCTCGCTACATGCACAAGGACATCAAGAAGGTATGTTACGAGGCATCACACACACACACACATTTACACCAGTGTTTCAACATCCAGTCAATAGGTGGAAAACAGGTCCTCTCATAGATATAAAACTGACATTTAATTTAGGGGCTCTTCCCGCCTCGGAAGAAATGACAGAGAATTCAATTTGTGTTGGTTTCCATGGTAACTATTAGTAGCACAAGTTCAACATGAAGACACACAGCAGCATGTTGTGCCTCTTGGGGAAGTTAACCAATCGTGTGATTGCAGGGTTTCATTCGTATGGACATGTCCGAGTTCCAGGAAAAACACGAGGTAAGACACTTTTTACCAGGAAGTAGCCAAAAAGTGTTTCTAATGACTATATCACACATACTGTGTCAAATGTGTTGCTCTAACGGACGTCCATTCATTTGCACGCCACTGACACGCTGGATTAATTCTGTTCATGTACTCACAGTGGACGCACAAACCAAAATTAATGTTGTTTTTGTCCTTCTTTGTGAAACTTTGTTGATGAATATGTTTAATCAGTGAATCAGAGTTGCATTATTTTACAATGTTCAGAAACCATGTTCAGTATTTTTTATCCAGTGTTGACTTTTTTGTGGATTTCTGCATAGTTTGCAGCAACAGATCCTTGCAAAAGACTTTTTATGTTATATTGTTAGAACTTATTTTGTGCACCCTCTGTCAGGTGGCAAAGTTCATTGGCTCTCCGCCGGGATATGTGGGACATGAGGAAGGGGGTCAGCTGACCAAGCTGTTAAAGGCGTGTCCCAACGCTGTCGTCCTGTTTGATGAAGTTGACAAGGCCCACCCTGATGTTCTGACTATCATGTTGCAGCTCTTTGATGAAGTGTGTATACAAACACACACAGATGAGCAGTATTATTACACCTTTGTGAAATTACATCCATGCCGTGTTGATAAAACATTTGCAAATGGAACATTAATGGGTGCTGCTGTTCCTGTCTCAGGGTCGCCTCACAGACGGCAAGGGGAAAACCATCGAATGTAAAGACGCCATCTTCATCATGACATCCAACGTTGCAAGTGACGAAATCGCCCAGCATGCACTCCAGCTTCGGCAGGAAGCTGAGGTGGTCAGCCGCAGAAAGCTGGCCGACAACCTCGGTGAGGGAAACACACTAACACGATGATGCACAGCAGACATCGCACTGACTTGTATTTGCTGCTGCTGCAAAATGAATTGGACATTGTGATTTTATTAGTTCCCACTTTGGGAACCCATTTAAACTCAGTCTGACATTATTTTCCATTTTCATCCATTACTGTAGTTTAAAATCAGCATGATGAAATGATGTCAAGCATCAGATCATCCAAATTTTTTGTCAGGTCTTATCAGTGTTTTGCTAAATAACTTAGATCAACATTTTAGATGCTGGGAAGACATTTACATAAAGTGTAGTTATCTGGTGCTATACCGTAGAGCCAGGTGAATAAAATTAAAAGTGAAATCAATGTTGATGTGTTTTTCCTCAGAGGATGTACAGAAGAGTGATGACATCACAATCTCCCGACAGTTTAAAGAATCTGTGATTCGACCGATCCTGAAGGTAACCCACATTTTTTTGGTGTAATTACAGACAGATTACTTTGTCTGTAATTATTTAACTAGTTGCTTCACTACAGCAGTTTAATGCTGTAGTTAATGCTGAGATGCTTCGGTTGTCATTGCTAATTCTTTGGTTCCTCCCCAGGCTCATTTTCGGAGGGACGAGTTTCTGGGTCGTATCAATGAAATTGTGTACTTCCTGCCGTTCTGTCACTCAGAGCTGCTGCAGCTGGTCAGCAAAGAGCTCAACTTCTGGGCCAAGAAGGTGTGTAACAGTGCGCACAAGCAAAGCACATCACAGTGTTCACATTATATTTTCAGATAGGTCACACAGCTCCTAAGATCCTCTATATCCTTTTCATAAAAAATAAAATCAGCTGTCTGCAGTTTGTAAATATGAGACTATCGTGGGACTGTACAAACTACAGTGTTTCCCATTAATTAACGAAACTATGGCGGCCTGCCATAGTTTCATAGTCTCATGATATAAATAATATCTCGAACGCCGTAGCATTTTGTGCCGATGTGCTCAGGCTGTCAGATCCAGCGCTCAACAGTGCGAGCGTTTCACTCGACTAAAAATACGTGTGTGCGAACTGTAAAAAATATTTAGGGGCACATGTGCGCATAAAAAAAATCACCCGAAGCAGCCTATATTTTTGTCAATAAAAATATATGATAATCTAACCGCAAATGTTGGAGGAACTCCAGCCGCCTTCCCTCTTCCCTCTTTCCCGTGTGACACGGTTATGGGCGGTTTTCCACGCCACTGTCGGCACAATGAATATAAGTCCCACTGTCGGCTGGATGGAAATAAATCAAAGGGCTCTAGTTTCCCGGCGCAGCGCAGGGTGGCGCAGGGTGGCGAACCCCACACAGAGCTAGTTTCGAGCAGCGCAACCCGAGGCGCGCTCAGTTTGGCAGTTTGGCAGACCGAGGTGCGCTGAGATGGGTGTGTCGCAGCAGGGGGAGGTGTCGACAGTTCCAGCTTGGCGCAGTGACAGTTTCGTGCCAAAAGGCTTCGCCAAAGGTGCGCTAAAAGCTCGCCATCTGAAACCAGGTCTACTGTCAGCGCAGGGGGAGCGCAGCCGGTGTAAGCCGAAGTTTGGCTGACCGGCGGACAGTGCGCACACGTCACCAAAACCTCACAGGCAGGTTTCCAGAATATCAGGCACATTAACGATGCAATAAATACCCAACAAAACCACTATTCAATGCAACTATCTGCAATCAGCACATAAATGTATCTCTATATTGACTGTCCCGTCACATCTGATGCCAGATCAAAGGGGATTGGCACCGTTTGGCATGTTTGGCACGCGTAATTGAAACCCAACCTGATTTGATCAAAACAGCTGCAAACTAATGAGTTCACACCCCTCTCAGCCAACCACAAACAGCCACAGCATCAGATAGGGAGTATATATTCAGCATCTGTCATCTTAGAAAAGTCAAAAGAAAAGAAATAGAGTGAGACTGCGAGAGAGAAAGAGAGAGAGCGCGCGCGCACGAGAGAAACGCATCATTGATTTACGATTGTGGTGACCTCCTCCCAGGCTACCTTTGCATCATCAGTCCGTGGAGGTCTGCTCGCAGTTCCGTATATTCAAACACTGCGAGCTTGGACCTCCCGGACCAAAACATAAGTTTCCTCCTGGGAGAAGTTTGGCTGTCTGACGCTGCTGCTCTCTTCTGCAATGGCCAATTGAGTAAACTCTCATTACGCCTTCGTGCGGCACATTTAAGGGCGAGGAGAGGGGCTCATTTGATTGGTGTGATGTGTGTAAAACCCACTCCACGCCTTCTCTCCTCCCTCTTTCCGACTTGCGCAGGTAGGAGGGACGGAGGTGGGACAGACGAGTAGCTGCGCCAGTGTGCACGGTGTGCCAAACTTGCAAAATCCTCCTGGCCACACCCAGTTGGCGAAGAGCAGGTGCGCTGTGCCCCCACCTCGCCCGGTCTGTGAAAATAGAGCCCAAAGTGTGGAGAAGAGGAACCGGGAAAAGCGGCGGACCTCCAGGGAAGCCTGCTCCGTTCTCCCCGCAGTTAGGGACCGTTCGCCACGGTACTGCTGCTGGGCAGGGTGGAAATAAGTCCTGCAGAGTTACAGAGGACCTGGAGAATGTTTTAGGATAGTAATAACATTATATAAGATAATCATATTGCAAAGATAATATAAGATAATAACATTAAAGACAAAATGAAATTGCAATACTTTTTCAAAACTTGATTTTAACTTTCTGTACATTTTGTATACAAATTCATTTCAATTTCAATTTACAATGTTCAAAATCCTGTGGGAAACACTGAACTACTAGTACTTTTCAAACTACTGGGAAGGTTCAACAAATCCTTTCCAAGTGTATCTGAGAGCAGAGCTGCAACAACTGATTGATCAATAAGCTCTTAACTATTAAATTAATCGTCAACTATTTTGTCAATGGGTAAATCAGTTTGAGTAATTCTTTTAAGAAAAAAAGATTCCAGCTTCTTACATGTGAATATTATCTGATTTCTTTCCTTCCCTGTGACAGTAAACTGAATATCTTTGGGTTAAGGACAAAATAAGACGTTTGAGGACATTATCTCAGGCTTTGGAAAACACTGACCAACATCTTTCACCATTTTCTGACATTTTATAGACCAAACAACTAATTAATTAATCAAGAAAATAAGCCGATTAATCAAAAATGAAAATAATCTTGGTTGCGGCCCAGACACATGGGTGTCCTCCAGTCAGGCTGGAAGGCCCTACCCTCTTCATCCTGCAGCCGCTGAGCTGTGCAGAAGCACACGCAGATCAATATTATGTGCCACTACTACTCACTATAATGTGATTACAGTGTTTAACATGTGGAGCCTTCATCAATATTTAATTATTAATATTACAGCTGGTGTCCTGACATCCAACATGGGCCCTGCAGGCAACTGATAGGAACCTGACTCACAACTCTCACTGTGCATTTGTCTTTTGAACGTTGCTGTGTGTGTTTTCTTGCGCATCTATTTTTCTTTAATGTTTTGAGTGCTCATGTCTCGTAATAACTCGTCTCTGTCTGTGTGTGGCAACGCTGCTCACAGCAGAAATCTCATTACTACAGAATCCTCATGAGCCATTTGTTTGTCACTCACTTATATTAAATAAATTAAATGTTTAGTGCTATCATTATTGGCTTTAATACTGCATTTGTAATGTTGTAATATTAGTGTTTATATCTCTGGAGTACAACATGGTATGGTAGTTATTGAATGGAGTGTTAACATCAGGAGCTAAATGAGCAGCTCTGATCGCTACTATTGACTGGTGTTTGATTAAAATGCATTAAGGGCCTGTTGATTAGCCCTGGCAGACATGCTGCTTGACAGTATCTCCTCTCTGCCCGAGCATTTGTCTCTGTCTCCACCATCCACCATGCTTTCTTTTTGATTTGACTGTTTATGATAATAACCTCTTATGATAATAACCTCTTCTTTCTCTCTTCCACCCCCTCTCTCCCTGTCATTAGGCTAAGCAGCGCCATGACATCACTCTTCAGTGGGAACGCCCAGTTCTGGAGCTGTTAGCGGGCGGGTATAACATGCATTAAGGAGCACGCTCCATCAAACATGAGGTACGCAGGGGCTGTAAAACACACTTAACATTTAACTCACTTGTTTCATGACTGAGATCTGGGGACACAGCAGCTCTGCTAGATGAGCTTTGCAGCAGACCGGTAGGGCAAGCAGAGAGGGACATTTACAGACATATAGTAGGGTAATTCATTTAACATTAATGTTCATTTTCACAATTAAGTGGTTAAGATAATATGCCTTAAGTGTGGTTTGGTGTAAAACCTGTCTGATCATGTGTGTGAAGACATGTAAAGATGTGTGTAGCAGAACATCTCAAGATCTCAGCAATGACTTTGTTGAGTAAAATGTTGTTTAACTGATAGGACCAAAATTTGAACGGATAGTGTGGAGTTTTTGGAGTAGGGTATGAGGTATGTATGAGGTACTTAGGCCACTTAGGTGTCAGTTGGCCCACTCCCAGTTTGGAGAAATAAGCAGGAGTACCGACACAGAAGCAAAGCAATATACAGCTGTGGAGGGGTCAGCAGCAAAATTTACTTTAGCTGCCTAAAAAAAAAGCCCCATCTAAAAAAACTCAGTATCCGTTTAATTGTACGCGATATTTTGAATATTTTAACTGCTTTAACATGCCATCACACAGCTCTATACGACAGGAAACTGAAGCTGTTGTATTACTCCCTTCAAAGCCACCAGACTCCTTTGACAGAAAAGTAATTTTACCCTGCAGAACACGGGAGTTGCTGGTCTACCGCTGCCTCTAGTTTGTGTTATCATGTGACTTTGGTGTTTTAAAATGTTAGTTTGGATTCAACCAAAGTCACACAATAACAGAAACACATTAACTGAACGAGGCAGCAGGAGACCAGCAGCCTCCATATTCCGCAAGATAAAATTTCTGTTTTTGTCTATCGTGATCTCATCTGTACTCGTCAGGTTTTGCCGCTTGGGCAGAAGCCTCGGGTGTTACTAAAATGACACAGGCCGGCATTCCTCTGCGTTGTACATTGACACAGAAGGGGTTGGCGGTTAGCTTTAGGCAACAAAACTACTCGGTTATGGTTAGGAAAAGACTGCGGATGTTGCTCTCAAGTTCTCTTCTAGGGAGTATTTAAAAGGCAAACCCCCTTACCTTCCCTTGTTCAGCCTGATTGCCCCTCACCAAAAAAAACACCCAGCTTTAAGTGACACAAACATGGCCAGAAAGGTAGCGGCATGTCGCTAGAAAACACTGTAACAGGCATCACTCATTGTTGGTCTCAAACACTGCTCTCCTAGGTCAGAGAGTGGCATTTGTTTCACTCATCCATGAAAATAAGCAGATAAATCCATAGTAATGTCTGACATTGTTAACGTTCATGTGTCAGTTGCAAAATACTCTTTCAGTCAGTAGATATGAGATACAGATATATCTATCACACATATTTGATCAGGGAAGAGCCTCCTATCAGCAGAGAGCAGTGGCTGGTTTTCAGTAGTTAAAATATATCAGCATCATGTTGTTTTAGGGACCGATCAGCAAAGCTCAAGAACAGCACTATACTGCTTTAAATACAATATTCTAAACTCTGCCGCACCACTAACCTCGTCCCTGATCCCTCAGGTTGAGCGTCGGGTTGTCAACCAGTTAGCAGCAGCGTACGAGCAGGAGCTGCTGCCCAAAGGCTGCACCCTGCGTCTGTCTGTCCAGTCGGAGGACCGGGAGGAGCGGAGCACGCCCAGTCTGCGCCTTGAGGTGGTAGGAGAGGACAGCTCTTCAAGAACGCTGGACATCCGTCCACCGCTCAGCCCTGAACACTAACACAATGCAGAAACACAGAGGATATATACAAATAAATATATATATATATATATATACATATATATATATATGCACACATGTACACTTTCCACACACACAATATCATCATCATCATCATCATCATCATCATAGTGTCAGGCAGATGGATGGTTCTTGATGGATTTAACCAATAAAAGTACCTCTGATAAACACATCACTGCCTCTCTGTTTCAGTACACATATGCAGTAATTACATGCCAAATGACATGACAGTGTATCAGCCAACAGTGTGCTGTAAAAAGTAAAGTCAGCCTACTTGAACGTTAAAGTTTATGTTACAACAGAATCTCATATCAGCAGGGACTGATATCAAGAGCTGTGCACACGGCCTCATTAGATATAAAATCTAAGCGCAGGGTGAGTGAATGTGTCGCAGGTTGTAAACGTAGCATAGAGGCTTCAGCGTGCAGCGTCATGAACATCAAACATCAGACATCTCATCAGTGGATTGAAACCATCGTATTAGCTGAAACAAAAGCTTAGCAGCTTTACGTCTGTAGTAGCCTACTGTTAATAAATGTAGCTGTGACGTAGTTAAAATTAATGTCTGCTTTATCGTGTGGAACACTAAAAACAGCCTAATTATTTAATATTTATTAAATGTGCTCTATACAACATAAGGGAACATGGGGTAATGGCATCCCGAGCAGAGAATGAAGTCACGCTCTCTTTGTGTGTTGTCTGTTTGCGAGTCCCTGTTTGTGTATCCCACAGGCTAGCTAATTACCGCTCTGCACTGTGCTCATATGACAGTTACCGCTGATAACACTGTCCTGGCACGTGGTGGGATGGCGTTATCCTGGAAGCGTACCACCCACACCTATGTTAACATGTTAGCTCTGTCAGCACTGTGGCCATTGTTAGCACCGTTAGCTGCTAGGTGCTAGCTCAGCCACCTACATGTTGAGAACCAAGTGCAGACAATCCTGGCCCAGACTCTGAATCATGCTCTACAGCTTCCTTTAAGGATATATATAAGCAAAGTTAATGACAGTATATCTGGCAGTTTGGAGGCCAATGAAGCCGACATGATTTTGAAGAGACAAGATGTCAAATGGAAAACATTAACGAGGAGCAAAACTTAAATCTCTTAAACACCAAGTAATTTGATTTAAGAATGACGGATGTTTTGCCAAAGTGAGATCAATAACAGCCACTTTAAGTTTGTCAGTTTGCCGTGAAGGAAAGGAAGGTATTAACGACCAAAGATAGTTTGACGTTGCCTCAGATCGTGTTCACTTCAATGCACATTTATGTAAAACTCCTCACCAGCAGAGCTCCACTGATAAATGTTAGTCAGCACAACCTGCTTATTAATTTAATTTTAGTAAAGAATGTGTTAGTGGCGAAACACCAAGCAGAAATGTATAGCAGCCCATTTGAATGATGGGTAATATAACTGCCTTGTGAATTGTTTCTGTTGATGCATGTTGATGTAAAGACGTCTCGCCTGTCACAACAGAGGCTCTGGTGCTGTACAGTGTGTGTCTAGCTTAAAAAATCTATCTGACATTAAGAGGAATTTAGAGTTGTGAAGAAATAATATTCAAAGTGTTGTTTCATAAATGTTTGAACAGCATGTTGACAAGGCGCCAAATGTAAGCCAGCGACATTTTTCATTCTTGTATCCCAACCTCCACCGAGTAAATAAAGCCATCACAACAAAAAGGGAATTCCTCTGTTTTTTGTTCTGTTTGTGTCGCACTGACACTCCTGATGGATGGATGGATGTGTGTGTATGTGTGTGAGTGACCAGTGCCTGGGTGGGAATTCTGCAACAGTAACACATGTCCACCTTGTGAAACAACATGACAGGGGAATTTCCCTGGAATTCTGCTCTGTGTGGGGGTCTGTGTCGGACGCTGGGAGGGAATGCAGCGCGGTAAATGCCACAGAAATGTAAAAGACATCACACACACCCTGCAGGAATGCCTTCCCTATAGGGAGGAATTAGCATGCAGGAAAAAGACACATTCACTCTGACTGTGCTCCGCCTGGACCCCCCAACACACACACACATCTACAGAGTCACGGCTGTCATTCCCTGTTGTTTTACAGTACAACAAAGCAATCATGTAGGGGCAATTCTGTAGGGCTGAAATGATTCATCAGCCCATTAGTCGCCAGAATATGAATTGCCGAAAATTCTAATTATTGATTCATTTTTCTTTCTTTTTTTTAACATATTTTTATTGTGTTTTCACAGATACATCAACAGTACAAACCAAATAAGTGTCTTCAAGTTAGGCATTTTTAGTTGGTGTCATGTCTCATATAAATGTTCCATTTTTTCCAGTTCTTTTTAAATGTAATTTTTTAAATTCTCGAAACACATGTCAGCTTTTCCATCACTAAAACTTCTTGGACATTTTCCAGACAGAGTTTCTGTTTTGGGGGGGTTTACTTTGAGCCAGCTTTCTTACTTGCTGCAAGTAAAACTTGCTAATCACAACAGCTAACTAATGCTCCTGAGATACATCACAAGGCAGGTATTTGGGATTTTGTATCTCTAAATATTTTTAACAGCCACATTAATATTTTCCCAGTATGATCTGATATTTGTACAGCTCCGAAAAATATGTGTGTGGTCGGCTTCCGTGCTCCCGCACAGCCTCCAACATCGTTGCTGTGTACCAAGTTGCCTGCTTTTAATTTTGGGTGTTGTGAAAAAGTAAATTCTAAGAGGAGAATTCCTTCCATACTGGTGAGTCTGTGGATGTACATTGTGTCTCACATATTTAATACAAATCTTCCTCTGTTACTTTAATCTTTACCTGCCATCAATTCATTTTTCAAGCGAAAAAGCAAAACACTTTCTGGCTCCAGCTTCTTTACACTGTTTTCTATTATTGTAAATTCATTACCCAGGGTTCCCAAGGTCATGAAAGTCCTGGAAAGTTATGGAGTTAACAAAAAATATTTTCCAGGCCTGGAAATAGTTTGAATTTAATAGAATGTTTTGGAAACATTTTGAATATATATTGTTTGGGCTATTTAAAATATGTCTAAAGTTATACAAATTACTGTATGTTCCCTATATTGCTGACTGTTGAGACATCACTAGTATCACGTGATACACATTGGTGCATGAAGCTAGTTGATGGTGGGGACGTCAAACATGCAAGTAAAGTTAGAAAGTGCTAGCAGTTTACTTACTTACTTAGTTATGCCATACACCACTTTTGGGGTGTAGGCCGTCGACAAGGGACCTCCAGAGTACCCGATCGCTGGCTTTCTTTTCTATCTGTGACCAGGTGTATCCCATCTTCTTTTCAAGCAGTTTCCAAGCAGTTTGCTTATCTGCAAATGACCAAAAAGAGCATGTTTAATACTGTATGGCTTTTGAATGACAAATACACATGGCCAAAGAGAGGGGCAGATCCTCACTGCATGGGGTGTAGGCTCTGCACCAAAGCCTTTCACGTGGCAACATGGGGGGAACGGCTCTGGTCAGCCATGCTAAAGGGAAAAAGCATCTAGACAACCAAAAGGCTGCTAAACAGACTACAAGTGTCTGCACATATTTTACGTCTGCCGTAGCCCGGCCAGATAACATTACCGCTTCTACCAGTAAGGCAAGCATTGCTTGCTGTGGAACAACTTCAAGCGACATGCAACCAATCAATTACTGCATCCAATGATCTGCCTACCTGTTTTAAACTACCTAAGTTAAGTCACAAAAATGGGGTAAAATATGATGGGAATATTATGGAAAAAGTTTTGAATATTAATTGGTAAAAATGTGTGAACTCTGATTTATCTTTGTGTTTTTGACTGTTGGTTGATCTGACAGAAAATGCTTTTTGAAGATGTTGTTTGAGCTTTGGGAACTTGCAGTGGGCACATTTCAATATTTTCTGACATTTTAGTATCTAAACGATTAATCAAAAAGATAACAGCTGAATCAATAATGAAAATAATAGTCACTTGCAGCCCTGATTTTCCTCCAACTCCTATATGATTGGTGTAGTTTTAATAATGGAAATCAATAGAGGACGGTGACTTTTACCATGATCCACTTTATGAACATTCCTCATAAGTGTGCATTACTATATTTTGTGCATTTTTAATGTCCACTATTGAATTTGTTACAGCCTCAAAAAGTGGTCTGACCATTTTGTTGTTATTCCTTGGAACTGAAGAGAGGAAAGTATCATTTTTTTTTAATTTGTCTACCAACTACTCATGAACCTAAGCTCACTCTGTGGTTGTATTAATTATAGTTTGCATTGTTAAATTGCCCTTTGCTTTAAAAATGTTATCTACATGTTGTGAAGCTGATCGAAGGAGCAGCAGATGTTTTCAAACTTGGGACTCTTAAAGTGGCTGCATCTGGACAGTAGATCAGGTTTTGCTATGATACCTCAAGGCTTTTTTCCCAATCTCTTATAACCCTCAAAACACATCTACACTTTATGGCTTTAGGAAGTCGAGCTGGTGTATATGTGTGTGTGTGTGTGTGTGTGTGTGTGTGTGTGTGTGTGTGTGTGTGTGCGTGCACGTGTGTGTATCCATTTACCCTCCCTCAGGAGGAAGACAAGAATAAGAGGAGGAGGGGAGAGAGAAGAGGCTCTTAGTCTGTCCGTCAGGCTATTTCTGACTGCTGCCATTTCTCTGATTAGATTATGGAGAAACAGAAACCTGGCCCTCCATCGTCCTAACCTCCCTCTCACTCTATCTCGCTGTATTTTGCTCACCCATCCTCCCTCCGTCTCATGCTCAGCTTCTCTCTCTCCTCCACCTTTTCCTCTCGGTCCTTCCCTTATGCTCTGCTGTCCATCTGTCTGTCTGTCTCTGTCCCTCTCTGCCCTGGTGGCTCTCCTCCACCTTCTATTGCTGATAGAAAAGGAGAGTTCAAGGTGCAGGAGAGGAGCAAAACAGAGAAGTGAGTGAGAGGGTAATGGTAAAAGATGGGAGGAGGATGAAAATAGAGGAACAGAAAGATGGGAGAAATTAAAAACATTTCATTAGTACAATAATAAAACAAAAGACTTCAGTATTTGTTACCATGACTTTCTTAACTTGCAAAGACAAGGACCCAAGCAGTAGCAGTTGCCTCTGCAACACAGGGCCACAAGATTAACATGGACAGGCCTACTGGGCACAGGATCAGGGGCCCAAAGTGTCAGAGGGCCTTCTTGGTCTACACCTGCAAAATGGCACTCAAATTATCATGTGCTGACCAGTAAGAGACACAAAAAAAGCTCAAAAAAAAGAAACATAAGAACTGCGAAGAGACACAAATTGACCACAGAGACACAAAACCACACAAAGATGTATAATGACTACAAAGAGATGCAAAACAACAAAAAGAGGCAAAACCACCACAGTGTCTGTGTGTCTTGAGCCCAGTCTCACGGCAAAGTCATCAAAATCTGTCGCTTGGGCAGTGACTTGCAGCGTCAGACACTGACCGAAAAGCTGTCCTTTAACATCACGTGGCTGGGCACCATTATATTTTAACGATGCTCAGCGGTGAGGGGTGGTGGATGGGTCCAACAAACATCAACTTTCACCTGCGAGAGTGGTGTTTGAATCCCATAAGATTATAAAGCCAAACCCTGCTCTTTTGTCCTAAACCTAACCAGGGGCGCTTGTTGCTGTAGAAAAACATCAATTTGCGTTGTTGTACTGACATAGCACTTTTATTTTGAAAGAGACAGTGTGTAAATGGTGAAGTTCCTGTGAAAACAGAAGTGTATTTTGAAAGAAGACAATGCATGTAACAGGCAGAACTTGACTCGGTGTCCCAGAACATCAACAACCAACACACCAAGGGTACCTTTCACATCGTATCTGGACGTGGAAAGTCCATGACCAAACATCAGTATGTGAAGAAGTCGGACTGAGAATGTGTTGCTTGTCCCTGTGCAGGAGAGGTGGTGGGGCCTTTTGCATATCTGTGCCCAGGGACCCTGTTGTCTCAGTCAGCCCATGAAGATTAAGTAATAATGCATGGCCTTAGCTGATATTGTCCTTAGTGGTGCAGATTCTCTAAACAAACTGTAATTAACCAAATTACTGAAAACATTTGGGGCATCCTCTGGGTTCAAGGTGCTTACCATGAACCACAACGTCCCCAGTTCTTTGTCCAGACTGGATCCTCTGTTGTATGTAATTCCCTCATCTCTACACTGTCAGCTAGTAAATGCATATAGTTCCTAAAGTGAAATCTTTTAAGTATCAGAGGACTTTCATTATGGTGAAAATAAAGAAATCTGCTTCATATATTAATGAAGGAGGGTTTATTGAGAAATCTGGATAATTTTGCAGAGTCAAACTGCTGTCTAACTGTTGTGATAGGGTTCCCAGTTTGTGTATCTGAATGTGTTACATGCACAAATGGACAATGCTGTGAAATGTGAGAGATCTGGCTCATGTCCTCTGCTGCTCATAAATACTAATCTACATTCTGTAAATAAAAAGATGGGTAAAGAAGTTGGGTGTGTTTGATTTCAGTGCAGTTGCTGTGCAGCCCAGACAGCAGCAGCAGCTCAGAGAGGTGCAGCAGCCAGGTGGAGGTGGTGAATGATGAACGACTACTAGAGGCTCTCCCATTATCATATCTGTCCCTGCTCTTAACGGGGGATTTTCATCCGTGTCCCTCTGCACTCCTCTCATCCCTCCCTCCCTCCCGTTTCTCATTGTGCTCCCCCAGGAAAGCGATCGATTT